TTTCCTTCCTCTTCCCAAACAACGAAACATTTCTTTTCCACCCACTTTTCTTTCCTCTCCCCCACTTTCCATCCTATCCAAGGGGTTAAGAGTTCGCTCACATAGATAAATTGTTATTATATGTTGGTATTAAAATATAATTTAAATAAAAAGCACATCATATATATGTACAAGCGACTCTTGTATATTAACTTTTTTGGATATTCATAATTAGCCTTTATTATTCGAGACTAAGTGATTTATATGTGTTAAGTAACGTTCGTTATGAGAATGCATTTTATTTTTTAAAAGTTTTTTAAAGGGAAAAAATTCTACATTTGGCAATCCACGATAATTATTTGCATAAGTTATTTGACGGTGAGACTTCAAATCTTAAATCCAAAATCTCCTCATGTCATAAGTCAAATTTTTTTCCCACTATGTGATTAGTTTTTGTTTTATCAAAAGATAGTACATGTAAATTTGTTTTCCTACCATAATAACTCATAGAAGGTAATTAGTCTATCACAACAATAATAGAAATAATTTGACAACCCATGCCATGTAGTTGACATATAATTCAAACGAAACCCATGTCCCATGGAATAACAATTTTAGATTTTGGTAACAACTAAAAGTGAGAAACGATCTTGAGGAGACAGGATTAACGTATGGTTAATGACTCATCGCACACTTTATTAAAACATTTGTCAAACCCGGTCGGACATAAGAATCGATGAAATTAAGCCGTTCGGCGAGCTAGCTTGAGTAAACTTAGTTCCGGGTAGGTTTCCTAGAACCGCAATCGATGAAATTCGAAAGCAATCCCTTAATAAAATCCTTATGAAAGGTCTTTCAAAAAGTCATGTTCCTTTTTAAAAGGAAGTCTCTTAAAAAACATAAGGGGGTGGATCAATAAAGATATTTTGGTACAAAAATTATATACATAATATAATAAACTAAATGATAATTGTTTTTTCATTTAATAATTTATTATTAAAAAATTCATACTTTACTCGCTTATCATTTAACACGTTAATTTATATAAAATTCAAGTATAAAATTAATATATTTATTGTTGTGAAATAATGAATGTTTATTTCATATTCCTAATTATTCATATGATTCAATTCATTACTCAATATGAAAAATTGAAAAGATAATGTAATTTATTCAATTATTTATGCATCTTATAATGGTTCATAATCATTTCAAATTTCTTCTTAATCTTGCAACCTATAAATAGACTAGATTATTTATTAATTCATGTACAATAATTTTATAGAGATTAAGAGAATTATTTGGAGTTGTTATCTTTTGTATTCACTTTATCTTATAGTGAATTCATTTTTCTATGATCTTTCTCTTCAATTCTCCTATTATTCTATTTCTTTCATAACATCTTATCGGCACGAAGTTATAACCAATCAAGACGATAGACCATGAAACATGAAAGCTCGATCGGTTCTAAAAGCAAAAATCCCCAAAAGAAAAGGGAAATAATTAAAATAAAGCATGCAAATATTCATAAAATGGTCCAAGATATTCATGATAATAGCTTCTTGAAAAAGTCTAAATGCTTGAGAAAAATCAAGAGACTTTGATAAATTATGTCAATACGGGGATAAAATAGAACCGAAAAGAAACATTTATTGATAAGATTTTTGCATATAATATTTCAATTGATATATTGAATGAAAATAAGGATCCCGAGCCTAAATTTATTGAAAAATATCAACATAAAAATAATTGGTATAAATAAAAAGAGCAATCCAGATAGAATTATGTTCTTTTACAAAGGAATAGTTTTTTAAACCCATAGCTAAAATACTTGAAGATGTTAAGCTAGTGGGATACAAATATGTATTTATACGAAAATAAAATAAGAAAGATGAGATTGTAAGATGCAAAGCAAAACTTTTAACATAAGAATTTTCGCAAAGAACCGACATTGACTATAAGGAGATATATTCTCATATAATGGATGCAATTATATTTTGTTATCTCATTTGGCTCATAAAATATGTGAAAAAAAACTCATATGCATGTATTTAATAAATGTGATCACAATTTATTTGTTCATTTGAAATGATATCTATATGAGAGTCATAGAAGGACTTAAGATGCTCGAAGCATGTAATACATATTCTCAAAAAATGAATTCAATTAAATTATAGAGATCTCTATTAGAATTATTTTAGTATTAGTTTTATTATTTTAGTTTTTAAAAATTCAATTTATGCTTTATTTTTTTAATTTTCAATATCTACTCTTTATTACTAACTCTGTGTACATGTGGTATAATTATTTCAATAAATATTTATTGAAAGAAGGTTAAAAATATAACCATATTTATTCATGTATTTTTATAAAGAAATTCGAAAAGGGGTTTATAATAGTTGTTATATACTTGTATATAAACTAATGAACAATCAAGCCTATTTATAGACTTTAAGATTAAGAATAGAATTTGAAAGGATTATGAACCATTAAAAGATGCATAAATAATTGAATAAATTGCATCGACCTTTCAATTTCTCATATTGAATAATGAATTGAATCATATGAATAGTGGGGAATATGAAATGGACATTCATTATTTCATAACACTCCTTCTTGAATATCCATCATATAAGGAACATGCCTCGTTAAAACCTTACTAGAAAAAAACTCAATAGGAAAAAATCCTAGTGAAGGAAAAAAAGTACAATATTCCTTGTACACATTGATTTCAATGTTAGCCTTTGGCCTCCCCTGTTAAAAACATCATTTAAGATATTTAAGATGATATATTTCAATCTTGTGAATCATCTTTTCAAAAGTTGTTGTAGGTAATGCATCGGTGAACAAATCTGCTGGAATGTCATTTGATCGAATTCTTTCTTTAATTGAATTATGCAAGCGACATTATCTTCATATGATATTCTTGGAACTTCTTTTTGTTGGTAGATAAACTGCATGTCTCTTAGATATGATGGATTGTTAATTTTAGCTAAACACATTCTCGACTTGCACGAGAATTGGTATTTTTGCATGGTTTGAATATTTAGCAGCTATAGTTTGCTTCATAGAAAGTCATGACATAGCTGTACCGCTAAGTGTAAATACATAACTCGTTGTAATCGAGTTTTGTATAGATCAAGTAAATAACTCTGCATTTGTATAACCAATTAAACTAGACTTTGATTTATTTGAGTAAAATAAATACTATGTCAATTTTTTTTTAAAAATAACAATTTTGTAGAGATTGAGAGAATTGTTTGGAATTGTTATCTTTTATATTCACTTTATTTTATAGTGAATTCATTTTTCTATCATCTTTCTCTTCAATTCTCTTATTATTTCTATTTCTTTCATAACATTTATAATAAATTTATACATTTGTCATTTATTATTAACTCACTAATTTGAAAAAAATTTACGATATTTGAATAGCAAACATGAATATATATATATATATATATATATATATATATATAGAGAGAGAGAGAGAGAGAGAGAGAGAGAGAGCATTAAATAAAAACTAATCGGCTTCCCATGTTACACAACGAACCAAACTAAACATGTTTATTCAAATTTAATAGATTGCACTATACCATTGGTCTACTAAAATCTATTAAATTAAAGGTAAAAAATAAAATTTCATCTAATTTCATAGTTTTTAATCAATTTTTTTATTTCATTCATTCTTCTTTACTTTTTCATAGATTTTGTTGTTAAAAAAAAATTCATTGTTCGTTACGCATTCCTTTTTAAATAAAATTTTTTAATGATATAAATTTAAAATTTAATATAAAATCTTAAAAGATATATTAATATTTTTTTATAAAATTGCATCGAAGAAATAAAGAAATGATCAATATAAAAATTTGTATAAAAATTAACTAATGAATTTTTAAATTTTGAAAAATATATAAATTTGATATATATATATATATATATATATATGTATATATATATATATATATATATATATATATATATATATATATATATATATATAAAAAAATCAATAATAATAGTATAAAAAGATGTATTTGAATTATTTGATGGTTCTTCTAAAATATCATTTTAGTTATTGTATTTGAAATAAATCAATTTTAAAATATTAAAATAATTAATAATAAATTATTGATGTTATGTGTATAAATGCATTGTTAATTTCCAATAAAACCAATGATTTCATTTTTTTTATGCATCATGATCATACTCGATAGGCTCGTATGTCGTATAAATTAAAAATTAATTTTTAAAAAATTTAATTGTAAGGAATATATTGAAGTTAATAGAATGCAAGAAAAACAAATAAAAATTTATTCCATTTTTTTATTATATCAAGAATAAGTAAAAAAAACGTGAATTATACTAATTAATTAATTAAAAATATATTAAAAAATTCATATATAGAGAAAAATAAATCATATTTATCAACAAAAAAATCATATAAAAAGAATAAAGAATTAATTTGATAATAATTTTTATAAGAAAGGATAAATTAAAAATATCAATTTTAAACAATAAGAAGATATAATCCGATATATATATTCTGAAATTAAAAAAACATGAAAGGCCAAAAACATTTTTTTAAAAACATGAAGGACAAAAAATAGAGTTTAAAAAAAAATAAGAGACCAAAATGGAATAAAGTAAAAACATAAGGTGTCAAAATATCTTTTTAAACATGAGCAATCACAACTATTTTTTGAGAAAACGAACCACCAAAATGGAATAAATTATAAAACTTACAAATAAATACCCAAAAATTATCATAAAATCATAAAAATGCCATTGCTTAAATTATAAAAAATACCGCATATGAACTGTAAATAGTTAGTGATTCGAGGTAAATGAATAGTAATTTACTATTAATTCGCTCTTTAGATAATAAATCAACATAGGTGGTTTCGATCGGAATTTACTTTCCCTTCAAAATAAACAAATGAAGCTTTGGTTGGTTGGATCAGGGCCCAGGCCAGTTTCAGAAGCTTTCTGCGTAAAGAAAGAAGTCCGTTTACAATTCAATGATTGCCAAAGCGCATCGCAACTTTTCTGTTCAGCTCCTCTTTCGTAAACACTTAACACTTCTCACCTGTCCTGTAATACCACACCCTAACCCCAAAATTCATGGATATTTTAGCCTCCTTAATTTCATAAACTTCTTGTTTGATACCACACCCTAACCCCAAAACTGCTGAAAAATATATTTTAGTGTTTATTTAATATAGAAAAATAAAATATAAAAATAATTTTTTTTTGAAAATTGAACTAATAATTTAATCTAAAAAATAGTTTTACAAATTATTAGTTATCATTTGTAGATAATTATTTATTTGGTTTTCAAAGATTAATGTTAAAATAATTTGTAACTAATTATCGACTACAATTACAAATAAAATTTTACAACTGATTAAAATTATTCACAAATTATTGATTTAGTTACAAATGTATAATGTTTGAAAAATAATGTATTTATTAATGAAGTAATTAGTTTTAATTTTTTACAACTAATTATCGACTACAATTACCAACAAAATTTTACAACTGATTAATATTATTCACAAATTATTGATTTAGTTATAAATGTATAGTGTTGGAAAAATAATGTATTTATTAATAAATTAATTAGTTTCAATTTTTTATAATTAATTATCGACTATAATTACCAATAAAATTTTACAACCGATTAAAATTATTCACAAATTATTGATTTAGTTACAAATGTATAGTGTTGAAAAAATAATGTATTTATTAATGAATTAATTAGTTCAATTTTTTAACAAATGATTACGGTTTTGTAATAATAATTTCTAATAAAAAATAGAGATAAATTATTAAATTATTTATTATAAAAACAATTTTAAGGTGTAAAAATGATTTTTTAAGAATATTTAATGTATTTATAAATCAAAAAATAAAATGTTAGTAGAAATAGAAAAAAAGAATTAAATAATTGATAATAATTGGTAGAAAATAATTAAAAATTAATTTGATATATTTTAAATAAAAAGGAGATAGAGAAAAAATAATTAAAATACATTGAGAAAGATGAGTAATGCGAAAACGAGATAGCTCGTGAGAGAGAGAGAGAATATTTTTATTTTTTTAACTCAAAAATACTTTTAAAAAAATATCCTATCTTTTTTTATTGATTGAAAATTATTTTTTGTTAACTTTTTTATAAACGCAAAACAAATATCATTAAAAAACAAAAGAGAGAAAAACAAGTTTCTGAAATCTGTTCTCGCAAGCACAGCCTAAATATTAGTACTACTACTGTCCAATGACTTCCAAAGCACAGCACATCGCAACTTTAGGCTCCTTAGTTTCATAAACTTCTTGTTTATGTTAGTACTTCTGTTTTGAATCCAACGTCATGGCCTTTGATTTGGAGTCTTTGGCAGATGCAACATCGGGAGCCGTTGGTGCTCTAGTTAGCAACACTATCTTGTACCCACTTGATATCTGCAAGACCAAATATCAAGCTGAAGTTAGAACTCATCATCAACAAAAGTATAGGTTTGTTTTTTTCCCTTCGTTTTTGGTATTAGCTACTGTGCATCTGCAGTTTGTTGGTTTTGTGAGGTGTTATGCGAATTCCTGGTTTAGCCGTAGATATCAACTGCCCACTTGAATTTATTTTATTTTTTATGCATAGCTTTTAGGATTGTCTAGAACTCATTCAAGACTCTGATTTGATTAGATTCAATTATTCATTGGTGATCATATTCCGGATGTTATGCTTACAATTTCTGATTTAGCTGTAAATTTGCAATTTCCGTTGATGAAATCCTTCTTGTAGTCCGTATATTACGTTGCTATTTATTTGATTCTGGACCCTTAACTAGCTGATTAACGAAGGGTTTCTGGGCTATGGCTATGGGTAAAACAATTAAGAGATTACCTTGATAATATACCATTTAAGGTAAGATCACTAAGACATATATGGCTGTGGCTTTTGCAGGAACGTATCTGATGTTTTCTGGGAGGCAATTGCTTCCAGGCAGGTTCTTTCATTGTACCAAGGCCTTGGGACGAAGAACTTGTAGTCTTTTATTTCACAGTTTGTGTATTTTTATGGATACAGCTTCTTTAAGAGGTTATATTTGGAGAAAAGTGGGAACAAAACCATTGGAACAAAAATAAATTTGATACTGGCTGCTGCAGCTGGGGCTTGCACTGTCATAGTGACACAGGTGAGTCATCATGATATCCATTTTTTTTGCTTTTATAAACAAAATTTTGTTATCCTATATATATACACATATATTTTCCTATTTCTTTTATATTGAATGATATTCGAATTCTTGTTGTTGAGAGGTCCCTGACAAATGGTTTTGTGCATGGAATAACTAAACATCTATGGTTAGTGACTGTATAAACCTCTCCTAGAAAAAGTCCGATTTCTAGTCTGAAGCATCCTAATATCTGTTTTAGTTGTACAGCCCTTGGATACAGCATCCTCTAAAATGCAAACAAGTGAATTTGGAAAATCCAGAAGACTTTGGAAAACCCTTTCGGAGGGCACCTGGAGTGAGGCATTCGATGGTCTTGGCATATCTCTTCTTCTGACGTCAAACCCATCAATCCAGGTACTTGACTCTTCTTTCTAGTATTAGGCTTGCAAATAAAGTGTCATTGAGCTTATGCTCAGAGGGCCTGGCCTGTGATAGACTAGGGATTTGGTTAGAGGGGTGAGTGCAGGGGAAATGGAAAATTTTGATTTTACCATCTGAGCTTTTGATTCTTACCTTTGAGTTGTGAGATTTTTGAGAGGTGGACTGGTCTTTTTGGAGATATTCCAAGAATGAGTATGCTTTTACCCAGGATTTTGCTCTTTAGGCTTCTGCTTACGCATTTTGGGTGAACACACTAAGAGAGACTTAGGGTCTCAAGAATCAATAGCTCGAACTGAAAGGGAAATTCTATGTTTTACAGTACACAGTTTTCGATCAGTTGAAAAAAAGACTATTGGAGCGGCAGCTCAGCAGAAGATCAAGCATAGATTCATCTCCAGAAGCTCTTTCTGCCTTTTCTGCTTTTGCATTGGGTGCAGTTTCAAAGTGTATGGCCACCTGTGTCACATACCCAGCCATCAGGTATGCAGTCAACTCAGTCATCCTTTGCTAAGCATTTAATGATAATAATCTATGTTGTCTTTCATTTTTCCATCAAAATGGTTAAAGAACAAAATCACTGATTGACCATCCATGAAAAATGAATTATGCAATGTGTCTGAAATCCTCTTAGTCAAACTCATTTTATAAATGTTGTTGATAGGATTTAAGAGATGAACTTTGGGCAGATGTAAAGTGATGCTTCAGGCGGCAGAATCAGATGAAAGTAGGATTGAGGAAGTTCAACCAAAAACCGAGAAGACGATTTCTGGTGCACTCTATTCTATTTGGAAAAAGGAGGGTTTGCTAGGTTTCTTTAAAGGATTACTGGCCCAGAACCTGAAGACTGTGCTGAGCTCAGCATTGCTTTTGATGATAAAGGAGAAGATCTCAAAGACAACATGGGTCCTAATGCTTGCACTTAGAAGGTATCTGTTTGTCACACGCAGCAGAATCAAGAACGGTTGATTGCAGTGAGAATCATATGCATGGAAGTTGGATCCACGTAAATAAAGGGCTCCGCTGGATATGTCCACATTTGGAGGAAATTTCTTACAGACGCTGTAACTGGCAGTAGACACCTGTATGCCAGCTAATATTTCTCAGGGAAGAATTTCAATTTGCAGCAGAGGTGTTGATTTTTATTCCTCAGTATCCTGCTCAAATTAAAAAATGTAGAGCAAATAAAGTAAAATTTTAAAGCACTCTTTTTATTGGCTACGTTATGCATTTCTGTTAGATATGTATGCCCAAGAGCCATATATATTATGTGATATGTAAATAATAATCCTTATATGGCAATAAAAGATATATTCATTATATGAAAGTTGTTTTTATTTTGAATATAGTTCTTAAGTATATTGTTAGAATATCTGTTCTAAAAGATGTTTAGAATATGAATGACGAGATATTTACGGAGTAAAATACATTAAAGAGTTCATGGTCATAGGATACCCGATTGGGCATCAATTATCCGAAAGACTATCACCTCTATTTGTTTATGATAGTGAGTCTCATGCTATAAGATATGTGATATCGGAACAAATATGTGGACACTCATCATGGGTAGGTTGAACAATGACATGAGATTATGATAAAATGAAGTTCTAACTACTTGTCAATAATTCATCATCTAGATTATAATAGTGCATATAATCCCTTGACCTAAGGTGACACTGTTATATCACACATAGGTGATTAGGGTTTGTTACTTGCTTGCATATCTATACTAGTCATGTATGAGTATGTGGCGTGTGGTGGCTTAGTTAGTTAAGTGTAGGAGGTAAGTGTTTAGCCAAGAGGAATTCGTTACCTTGAGTAGACAAGGATAAGATCCTATGCTATATGGTTATTCTTGATAAATAAAGTTCCTAGCCGAACGGAAAGATTCACTAGAAAAGAGTTTACGGTAGGAGTCTTATAATATCAAGAAATAAAACCGAGATGAGGACATAGCATTTAAGTAATTAGGGTTTGACACCCTAGCTAAAATCGGGATCTTATAATGAAGGGATTCGAGTGCATGGTAATTATGATAATTGGTTTCGTGATATGTAATTAATCGAGTTTAATACATTCATTTCTAATTAGGTAGTCATGATATGCAATGCTAGGCGTCACTCATGACTTATGGACTAAGGACATTGAAAGATCCTTGAATTAAGAAAAGAGTTTTCTCATAATATCAAAGAGTTGATATCATATTCCCATTGTTAATTGGACATGAACCTAGAAAGTCACACACAATAGAGATTTTATCGAATGAGCAATTATTGTTTTAATTATTAATTAAAGTGCTTAATTAGTTAATTAAAAACAATATGATTAAACTTGTAATTAAATTTACAAGGTCTTTAGCATGTCCTGAAGTTTAATTCAACTAAGGGTAAATTAAAATATGACTTAATTTATATGAGATATAAATGACAAGTCATTGAACTTAAGTCAATTAATGAATTAATCAAAATAATCTTAGTAGAAGATTAACATAATCTTAGTGGAAGATTATGTGTTTTGATTAATGCATGCATGCAAACTCCTCCACTCAAGATATGTTAGTGGAAAGTGTAGAGAATTTATGCATGCATTATTTACATGTGTAATAAAAAAGTGTCTTGATTGTTTCATGCATGAATGACATATGCCATGAAGGATGCATGCATGATTGACAAATGTCTATATGAAAGACATTTGTTATCTCTCATGTATGCAAGTCTTTCCACCCAACATAAGTTAGTCGAGAGCATAGAGAATTAAAAACATGCATGATTGACAAATGTCTTTGTGAAAGACATTTGTTATCTCTAATGCATGCAAGTCTCTCCACCCAACATAAGTTAGTGGAGAGTGTAGAGAATGACAAGAAGAAAAAAAAGATGAGAGAATGGAGATAGTCTTGTATGGTCACTCATCTTACTAGCATTGCAGTTCCGCTATTTCTGCGTTAAATGATTTGGAGCTCGCATATTCCCTCAAGAAACTTATTTTCTTGAGATGGCCTGGTAAATGCAGGATACAGTAATGCTTGGTGCCATCTTCCATGGAGCTGATGCTGAAGTGGCATCACTGCTCGCTGAAGGAGCAGCACCGATTGGAATGGGAGAAATTACAAAAATAAAGAACGAACAAGCGTATTTCTATCTGTCCCGTTCTTTAAACACACTAAATGAAAATGTTTTATTGTTTCTTCTCGTCTCTCAAAGCGTGCCTGTTCTGCAGAGAATGCATCATTGATAAAAACGCCAGAATCGGGAAGAATGCCGTTATTGCAAATTCGGAGGTATGATTCAACAAAATGCTTATTCTATGTGTTGGAAATATAATTAGCGTTTATTGACCTTATTTTCAGTATCCTATATCAAGATTTGATCATTTTCATACATCTAGGCATATTTGATCTGAAAGTAAATGCTTATTGATTCAATTGCTTCCCTACTGTTTTTGGCAACCAGATCAAGTTGTTGTTTATCAGGCAGTTTTTGGTCAAAAAGTTTGTGGTTTGTAGCTGACTTACTGGTTGCCAATTTCTGTCTATGAACGGATTTGCTGGCCATACAAGCTAGAGGCTGATAGATCTTCTGAATTAAGGCCTTTACATTCGACCTGGGGTTAGGATCATATTAAAGAACTCAGTTATTCAAGATGGATTTGTGATATACTTTTTGTTTTTTCTCTTTCATGGACCGATCCATATGGTTAACAAAAATGCCTATTTTGCAAAATACGTATAGGCAGCCACGACATTGCTTATGGTGTAAATATATCCAAGATAGACTTTGCCAAGACTCTAAAAAGTTTAGATAAAAGTTGCAATTTTATTTTCCAAAACCCAAGGTATCTTTTGATTATCAGAAATAAAAAATCCAAAATAAAAATATAAAAATTTAAATAAAAATTAAAAAATCAAAATAATATTTGCATCCTTATATTGTGTTTAGAAAAGTAATAAAAAATAAAAATAAAATAAATTTTTTTTAATATCTAATTTTTATATAAATAAAAATAATGATTAAAAAAATAATTTCATAAAATTATTATGGTTGTAAAAATAATAGAATTGATGTTAGTAGTGATTGTTATGATGGTGATGATGGTTGTGATGGTGAAAGTAATTATAACGATTGTAGCGAAAGTAGTTGTGCGATTGTGGTAATGATAATTGTGATAAAAATAATTAATACGCAATAAATAAATAAAATATATTATTATTTAAAAAAATTTTTATTCTCATTTTTTGTTTTTATTTTCACATTTTAAATGGAATGAAGTAGTTATGAATTTTCATTTTTATTCTCTCTCTTCATTTTTGTTCTCACTTCATTTGATTCAACCAAACAGCTACAAAATAGAAATAAAACTTTCATTCTTATTTTCATTACTTCATTCCCGATAATCAAACATCACCTGCATATTAAAACTTTTTTACCAACAAAAAGATTAAACTTCAAAATTCTTGTCCCATTGAGCATATGCAACTTCAATTTAAAAGTGAGATTTTTTTTTCCCGAGTATAAAGCATCTTTTGAAGAAAAACCCGTCTGTTTCTTTTCCAAGTTTTGTTGTTGTTGTTTTTTTTTTTTTTTTTAATGAATGGCATCATTAATTCATCATATGGTTTTTAATACGGAGCCTTCTCCGTCCTTTATACCCATCCTAATACAATCTCAGGTCCTTAGACTCGAGTTACTTGATTCTGGGAAACTAGATCTTTAGCATGCAGAACTCAAACAACAGTGAGACAGAAATCACTGGCCTCCTGGGAAACTAGATCTTTAGCATAGCTTTTCTGTTACCAAATTGTCAATACTTCCAGTATTTTTTAGATAACCTAACTGAATATCCTGCATGTAATTATTTTGTGATTTGTAAGCATTTCATATGATCATTAATGTGCTTCATTCCAGTCAGACAAAAGAACAACTCAAAAGGATAGAGAGCATGCTGCGAACCAGGTTCATAAATTCAATCAGACATTGGATAATAGAGAAAGCTCTTCACAGTTGAACATCAATTCGTTTTCATATCTTTGCAAAACAAACCGCTCCTCAGGCGTAATAATATTGGTGACGTAGCATTTCTCATCTGAAAAAGGTTTCCTACCTGTTCTTCCAGCTCGATGAAGATAATCTACAGCAGTTCTTGGCAGATCGAAGTTGTATATATGAGTTATTTCTGGAAGATCAACCCCTCTTGCAGCTATGTCTGTTGCTACAAGAAGATAGCCAGCTCCATGTCTCACTTCCTATGTCAAAAAAACAAACACATTAAAACAAGATGGACGTCGGCAAGTGAATGCCAGAAACAGTACTACAATTAACTGACATATCCTTTGCTATTTTCAGTTTTGTTCCATGCTGGATAGCAAGTGTCAATGGTTTACCGTGACAATTTCAAAAGTTCAGGTCATAGACAATCATGTGTTAGAAGGTCAACAGATAATTTAAAACTTTAAAAAAAATGTTAAAATGATATTTTTCCTTTGGATGGGTCACACGTAATAGACAAATATATTCACACAAATTAAAATTTTTTCTTTGTTGCATCTAACAATAGGCACCCATGCCAATTTCTGTTGCCTTTTTTGACACTGCACTGTGAATAGAAAGTGTAGTGTCAATGTTAGCATTCAATACACACACAAAAGAACTAGACAGCACTTACTGATAATGAAGCTGCTCGTGAATTGAAATTCATGTCTTCCTCCAGAAGAAGGATATCTGAACTACCCCCATATGAAGTTTTCAGAAAATCCACTAAATCTATTGTTGGTGGAGCATTCCCAGCCTTTTTTGACTTCTCAGACTGCATGAATAGAAACAAAATGATTTTATTTACTGCATAAGCCTTTCCTCTTATGGAAAGAAAGGTAAAGATAAATATTTCGCCAAATAGCATGCTAACAAAAATCTAATTTTAGAGTCCTACAAATATTCATGAACTCAATAACATAGCTATGTTAACAAATGACCGGCCAAGATTTCAGACTTTTCTGAGCTGAATGATAGCATACAATTAGGCATGCCATTGATGCATACTATTCTTTTATGCCATGTATTCAATAGTACAATTGTTTGAATGGAATGGCAAAGTAAAGAAACCAGACAATCTAAAATTTATTGTTGACATGACTAGAAATTTTTTCTTTGTCAATTATTATTATCAGACAGCGTGATTACCAACGAATAGAATATTCAAATTTAAACGAGAACTAAACTCTATTCTCAGAATTACATTCAATGTATCGATTTAAGAAATTAAGAACTTGATAAAGATATGCTGCACAAACCTGCTCCCCAACAAAAATAATGCCAGACTTGGGTGCGTCAGACTGCAATGAGGAGAGCAATGTTTGATGCCTCTGCTTTTTACTGCATATCTGTTAAGAAACACGACATCAGTCCACTCTAAATCAAAATCATTAAGAAGAGGGGCAACTACCAATAAAAGGATGTTACCTGTAACTGGAAAAAAAATAGGGAACATGTACAAACTGCCAATAAACTGGAAAGTGTTATGATCATCAAAAATATTCTTACCATGAATCTATGTTGCAGGCACGTTGGCATGGGCTCAATTGAATTCACGTGAACATGAACTACATCTCTCTGCTAATACAGAAATCATAATAGATATCAATGGTATCATTTTATAAAATTCCATTGATGACAGCCTTTTTTTTTTCCATGAGCAAAAAGCTTTGCTAAAAGGAACCAAGGGGAAATAACACTACGTATGAACAAGAAGATCTTATACAAGATAGGAAATATACAAAGTCTGGAAAGAACAACCTTGCTCCACTTCTGCTGTATGCAATCATATAAAAATCGGTTGTGCTGAGGGATAGATGCACTGGCAAAAACTGTCTGACGGCTATTGCATGAGGAATAAGATGTCAAAAGCTTTCTCACGGAACCGACTTGTTTTGAAGAGTTGAACATGAAATCAACCTAAATAAACAATGATGTAAAATGCAATTCCTCCAAAACAGTATATCAAAAGCAATAACAGAAAATAATAAGACAAGTAAATAATCTATTTAAAACATTTTTGGGCTTCTTGGATTAGCATGATACCCAGCAGAATTATTACTCAAAGAAAATCAGCATCTGTATATCGGTCATAGGAAACAAATCACGGAATCCAAAAACTGTACCCTAATCAGACAGTTCATTTTAAAACATTCCAAGAATAATCATTAAAATATTCTATATATATTCTAAAAACACCAGACAATAAAAAGATACAATTATTACCTCATCGATAACCAGCACTTGCATTGATTCAAGCTTAAACAAATGCTTCTCAAGCATTTGGCACAAACTAGCTATTGTTGCCACCACTATAGTAGGAGGCTCAGCCTGAAAAACATTTTCTATCCTCTTAATACTGGTGCCAGTAAGCAGATAAAACCAATAAAAAAAATTGAGAAATTTCTGACTAATGGCAAGTTATATTGCAATTGTAAAAACAAGAAAATTGCATTTTTTTTTTATAACAGTTGGCAAACAGTGTATATTATTGCAAGCGCCTACAGTTCCTAAAAGCTACCTGAGGTTTCATTCTAAAGAAATACAAATAGTGCCAGCGGAGTATTTTTTTTTCAAGTACTTTACATCCACCAAAGTTTCCAGGAATTTTGACAGAAAATCAAATCAAGAGAATGCTGTACCTTTAGCCAACTCTTATGTCTTCTCAACATCCCTCCATCTAGAAGTGCCATGACGGTGCAAGACTTCTGCTCCACCTCATTCTCCTTAGGCTTTGCAGCCAACATCCGAGCAACTTTTGTAACCTTGTTCGTAAACAAACGACAACACCACCACAATTAGTGTGATATACGGATCATTCAATCACGATAATGAGCATCAACTTCTCTTCATTACATAAAAGAATATGCTTTAACTTAAAAAAGAAGTCGTCAAGATTCTTACTTGTATGCCAAGTTCTCGAGTAGGCACCACGATTAGTGCTTGCACAGCAGATCTTTGGCTGTTTATAACAGAAAATATCAATAACAGGTATGCAAGCGTCTTGCCAGAACCTGTCTAGCGAACCAAAAATAAGAACTTAATTAGACTTGTGGGGGTTTTGTATGCTATTCTGTTCATATTAAAATGGAATCAATTAATGAAAGTGAAATCAGTTAAAAATAGAGAGAAATTAACCTGAGCATGCAGTATGCAGTCGCGGCCGCTAAAAAGAACAGGCAAAGCTTGTTGCTGTACCTCTGTTGGCACTACATATCCAACTTCTTCTGCCCTGAAAAATGGGATGTTCAATTTAGCTACTCAATAATTCTTTTTTTAAGAAATCACTCAATTCAATATTACATCATCAAAATGAAATTAAGAAGAAATTGAGGAATGAAACGATAATTGGATTGAAATTAACTTGCCTGCGCAGCACGGGCTCGGGCACGTGACCTTGGCAAATTTCGCGCAGAGTCAAGCCGTCCTCCTTCTCCACTTCGGTTTGTGAAGGAGAATTGAGAATGGCCTTTAATGGCCTAAAATTTGGTTTAGAAAAGAAGAGAGCTCTGTTCCTGGAGTTTGAAAAGGAAAATAAATTATTATTCTTATTATTAGGATTAATGGTTTGTGATTGCAGTAGGAAAGAAGGGTTTCGAGTGGGTTTCGAAGATAAAACGGCCTGTGAAACTGGTAGAAGCTGAGTAGCTGAGGTTACAGAAGCCATTATCTGCTTCACTCTTGCTTCCGCTCTCTCCCACTGGTTAGCGGCCAAAAAAGAACGATACAGGAATGGATACAAGAGATGGATCCATTTTGCGAATATGGTAGATGGAAGGAATTAATCGTCTATAGTCGCTGTACGTTTGCATACCTAAAGAAGCGGGATTTTTTATTTTTTATTTTTCAAGATTTCACGCAATTTCAGACTATATATATATATATTTTTTTTTTTTTTTTGTTTTAACACGTCGTTAGAACACTTCACAGTTCACAGCGAGGAATGGCATTGGGATAGGGCGAGGCGGGACGGGCGATGGCCTCTAAAAATTTTGTCCCGGTCTCGTCTTGTATTCCACGCGAGCAATATTTCTCACGTCATCTTCGTTCCAAACGGGGAGGGAATCCTCGTAAAGTACTGATATCTCGTTTAATTTTTTATTTTTATCCCATTTTATTTTATTTTATTATTAAATTTTAAATTATAATAATAAAATAATAGTTTATATAAAAATAAATCCTAAAAATTAGGAATTATAAATTTTATATAGGATATAATTATAATTTTAAGGATGAAATGAAACAAAAAAAGCAAAACGACAAATACTATATCCGTTCCATCTCTGTTTAAAATAAATACGAGACAAGGCGTCTTGTTTATTCTGCAATCAATGCGGGAAGATGAAGCAAATTATCGTCTCTATCCACAGAATATAATTTTAAATATTTAAAAAAAATCTAAAAATTATTGATCGAAATCCTTCAACTACTACCTTGTAATTAAACTAGACATTTTTACTATCAAATTTCAAACTATAACAAAAAGAATGATAGTTCATGATGGGAAGAGAATCCTCATGAAGCACGAATGTCTCGTTTAATTTTTTGTTTCTGTCCCATCCCATTCGATTTTATTATTAAATTTTAAACTATATAAAAATAATAATAATTCATATAAAAATAAATTTTAAAAATTAATAATCATAAATTTTATATATAATATAATTATAATTTTAATAATAAAACGGGGCAAACCAGATGAGGCGATAAATACTATCTTCGTTCCATCTTTGTTAAAAATAAATATAGAACCAGACGTCTCGCTCCGTTACCCAATCAAGGCGGGGAGAGGGGCAAATTACCATCTGTACGTACAACGTGTTATTTTAAATATTTAAAAAATTCAAAAAAATATTGACCGGGACCCTTCCACTGCCACCTTATAGTTAAACCGGACCTTTTTCTTTTTATGACGCACACGTATATGTGTATAGCGTCATGTGGATTAGTTTAGTCTGAGGTCTTACACGTGCCGTGCGCGTTGGACGAATGGTAGAATTAACAAGTCAACAATGTTTGCAAGTTTTTGTAATGACCCTTGTAATTTATTGAATTTGTTAATCGTGCCCAATGGTGTTAGGAATTTGCTATTGGTTCCCATATTTATCCAGCATTTTTACTTTCAAGTTCATCGGCACTTTTCACCTTTCATTTGGTTTTCGTACATTTTAGAGGTTATAAGTGTTTTTTTTTTTTTTAAAGAATAAAAGGTATGATGCCTTGATGAGGGAATGGAAAGCGAACTTAGCTTTTAGACTTGGAAGAAAAGGAGAGGGGTTAGGTGACTGATTTCCCAACTTGGAAGAAAATTCAAGCTTAAATCATATGTTAAAGTCATAATTAAGAATTGAAAATTTGTTGTGATTGTTCGGGTGGAGTGTCAAATTCGTGTATAAAACAATCAAGTGTTGCTTTGAAATTAATTTATTCCATTTATAACTCCAATAAAATCAAGAAAATATTTAGAGATATGATATATTAGATCTCCAAAAAAAGAAAAAAATTTAGACCATTAGAATCACATGAAAAAAAAATATATATTGACAATCTAATTCCGCATAGCAGAATAAGCCCTATTTTGTTCCTTGTATTTGTTTTTAGAAGACAATGCTTTATTTTCCATCAATTTTTCTTATAATTTAACAAATGTGAACCAAATATGAATAATTGTAATTGCTTTTAATTTTTATCAAATTTGTACATCATATAAGAGGAAAATCGACTTTTTGTTACAAATGCATAAGATGAATCGACTTCAAATAATAGATAAATTGATAGAAATCGACAAAAAAATATTAATTAGTTTAATAGTCATATTTATCAATTATGGGAGAAATTGATTAAAAATAAAATAAAAATATAAAGTGATCTCTCGCTACAAATACAGAGAATAAAAATAAAAATCATCCATATTATATACCACAAGAAATTGGATTTAGATAAATAACTAAACCTTATGTTCTTAAAATTGATAATATATTCATTTTTTTAATTTTATCTTTAATTTACTAGCTATGATATACTACAGTGCAGCTGAATATAAAACGAGAAGAATAATATAATATTGTTTAAAATATTATGATTTAAATTATTTATTATGAAATTTTAGATACTGAATATACAAAGTTTCACAAAACTAATTTAAAATATACTACATATATTACACATATTACTAATAGATTATATTGTTTTTATAATGTTCGAGTGTGTATCAATAAAATCTTATTTATAACTAAAGATAAATTAATTTAAAAATGAATTATTAAAAATAACAAGTTAATTTTTAAATAATCAGTATCAGGTTTAAGTTGTTTTGAATTAAAAGATAAGTATAATAATTGATTCAAAGTTAGACGTATATTGATGTGGACTTAGTCTATAAAATAATAAATTTAATATTTATTGCTGTAAAAAATAATATATCCATGTAGAAAAGAAAACAATAGGTGGGGTGATTGTAACATCAAAAAGAAAAAAATAATACCATAGAATAAGTAGCATTACAAGGGTCTCTTTCGGAAAAGAACCACTCAAGGGGCATTGTAGCAATAGAATAAAAAAAGAAAAAGGAATGAGATATAATTAATTAATCAAATGCAAGAAAGAAATCAGAAGAGATTGATTGATTCCATCAAACTAAAACCGTCTGAATCGGATTTCTTTGCCAGCATTCTCTGCCTTTTCCCCTTTCCCCTCCTTCATTCTTTTCCTTTCTTTGACCATTTACACATCCTCTCTCTCGCACACGCTTTCTCTCTCTGTCTCTACTCTTTAGGGTTCTTTTCTTCTTCACCTTCCCATTTCTCTTCTCCGGCAACTCAAGCGGTCTGTCTCTCTATCTCTCTCCGAAATGGCGAATTGGACTTCTGTTCCGTCTTCATTGTCTGATACTCCAATGATTTCAGCTGCTGCGTCGTCGTCTTCTTCTTCTTTGGGAGCTGGAGTTGACGATGCTTTCGAAGAGGACGCTTGCAGTATTTGTCTCGATCCTTTCACCGTTCAAGACCCTGCCACTGTATTGCACTTTATAACTCTAATATTTTTTTTGTGAAAATAATGTCTTATTAATGACTGGAAAGTTTGAGAATTTTATGGTGATCGCTGTCGCGCTAGCTGTTGATTGGCACTTTTCTAAGCACCGTATATTCAATGTTTTTCTTTTTCAGGGAAAGAAAAAACAAAAAAGGTTTAATGTATCAGTTAGGATCAAATTTATAAAATACGAACTTTATGGCACAATTTAATAAATATTACTCCATTTGTTTTATTGATGAAATTGAGTTTATTTTTATGATCTCTAATTGATTGTTAACGCATCATTTTCATTTGAAGAGAACTGTTGATGAGAAATAAGTTCATTTTAAACCCAAAAGAAAATCTGTGTTTTTTTTTTTCAAATAAAAAAAGCAGGGTCCTGGTATTTTTTTTTTTTTTTTAATTTCTTCCGGACATATATTTTCTTGGTCCTTTTTTATTTTTAGTCATCATTCCATGAAATATTGATGATATAACACTCAATACTAGAATTGACTCCAGGATGCTTTTATGGGCACTGCTTTTTTGTCTCTCTTGTTGTTCTATAGTGATCCTTTAACTGCATTTTGTCAAAATTTTATAGCTCTTGTTCTCTGTCTCAACATGATTGTTTGTGATGGATTGTTGTGTCTAGGGTTTAAGTTGATTATCGACCTTTGAACTTGTTTCTTGTCTCAGGTTACCTGCTGCAAGCATGAATATCATCTTCAGTGTATTCTTGAATGGTAGGTATTAATCGCTGCAGCATTGTTTTCTAGGAATGGATGTCTTGCATGGGATTATGGTGCTATGGCTGTCATTCATTTTACTCGTTTCTGGTTTAGGTCGCAGAGAAGCAAAGAGTGCCCGATATGCTGGCAGCTTCTTGTTCTGAAAGACCTTGCCAGGTATATTATTTGTTGTGAAAAGTGATCTATTTATATCTTTCTCTGTATTGTTCAGTTTTGTGTTGATCAAAGCAACCTAATTGGTTACTGCTTCTGTTTGTGCACCTTTTTTCTGGTTCCTATTTTCTAGCCAAGAACTTCTAGCTGCTGTTGAAAATGAGAGGCGTTTAAGGTCGAAGAACTTGACTCCTGCATCCGTAATCGCTCCTCATTTGGATGATGATTATGATGTAGAAGAGGTGATTATTTAGTCAGTTTGAAATCATAACCGCAATTTTTTCATTTCACCGTGTAGCTACTTCAAAAGCTTTTCTTTTATTTATTGGGTGCCAATTGAAATTTCTAGGATTCCTATTCAGATGACTCTGATTTCGACGAGCATGTTATGCAGCATCTAGCTGCTGCTGCTGCCAGCAGAGCTCGTTATGTTCGCAAAAGGGAGAGGCAGAGTTCTACTGGATTCGGCTCCTCCCAGGTTCTTGCCTTTACTTCTCCTGAACATGTACCCACTGTTCACCAAACATATACTTCACCAGAAGAAGTTCAAACTTTAAGTTATGGGTCATCAGTGATTAATTCACCAACTCCTGGCTCACCATCAATTAACATTCAAAATTTGTCATCTGTGGCCCCTCCTGTTGTGAACCAAGTCTCTACTACTGCAGTCAATAGCCCTTTCAATCCCAGGTATCATTCTGTGACTGTAACTTTTGATGTAGACTCTTGTTTTATCTGGCAAGGTGACATACTGATCCGGAGTTTGAATGGGTCAGAAAATCTAAGAATTGAAAACAATAGAGAAAAAAATAAATAAAAGAATGACTATTCTATTGCAAATGTCCTTGTTATTTACTTTTTAGCCAAACTTCATTTTTCTACCTCATTATCTTTGAACTGAAGGTACCAATGGACGATGGCATTTCTTTGAGAGAATTCTCCTGCACTGGATTCCTTTTGCATATTTCTTGTTGTCTGTAGCTAGAATCTCTCTCCCTCTCTCTCACACACGCATGCTCGTGCAGCAGCACACATTATCTTTCTGTATCTTATCTTTTCAAATGCTCCCCTTTCAGGGTTCTCTTTAGACAGCCACCAACTGATACTCCCCAAGGGCAAGGTTCATTGGAGCTGCTATCTCTCTCAGACTCTATTAAATCTAAATGGTTTGCTGCTTCAGCCAGGTAGATAAATGCAACTTGGTTTCTCTGGGACTGGTGTTTACTTGTTGTATTTGTGCTGCTGAAGTATGTGGATATCTTGCAACAGGTACAAGGAATCACTTTCAAAAAGTACTAGAGGTATAAAGGAAAAGCTAGTTGCAAGGAATAATTCGGTTAAGGAGCTGAGCAAAGAAGTCCAGAGGGAAATGAGTGCAGGAATTGCTGGTGTTGCACGAATGATTGAGCGGTTGGATCTTACCCCAAAACGCACTGGACCCTCCATGTCTGATTCTGGTTTTTCTGGGGGAAATTCAAATTTTTCCTGGAAGGGGAAAGGTGTGGAACAGAACATCATTGCTCAGGCTTTGGCCAAAAAAAGGGAGGAAATTGCTCATGATACAAGTTTAGGTGCATCCTCGCATGCCTCTGGTACAGTCCAAGCACAAGTGGAAATCTCCCATGCACAGGTTTGGAAACCCCTGAAGATGTTTTAACATATCTTCCATTGCCATAATAGATCAGTGCTAGTATCTTAAAACTGAAGTGTTGATATTTACAAAATTTTCCAAGTCATTAAAATATTTATATATCAATTGACATTGATAAAACATGGAGGTTAGCCTGAACACATATAATATCAGAACATGCTAATTTGTGCTTTCTTTTTTTCCTCATTTTACAGAGAGGTCATTGATGCCATGACACTCAGGCCTGGCAGCTCGCTGTGTTTTACCTTATCATCTGAGAAGGCATATGATGCAAGTGACGTGCTGTGAAGATACCAAGTGCCTGTTGGTTTGCGTCCTGCATCGAGTATTTATGCACAGTAAGCACCCTGTTAATTAAGTAACAAGGAACTGCTTTCCCGAGATACTATTTCTTTTTGTCACATTGAACTCGTTGAAGAGGTTAAGATGAATATTATATGGATGTTTCTCGTTGTTTGCATTTCAACTACAAAGAAACTTGATGTTCTACCTTGCATGAGTCCCGAGATACTATTTCTTTTTGTCACATTGAACTCTTTGTAGAGGTTAAGATGAATGTTATATGGATGCTTCTCATTATTTGCTTTTCAACTATAAAGAAACTTGATCTTCTACCTCGTCATGCTCACTTCTGCTTAAAAATCAAAATTACAAAGAAACCAGACTTTTACGTTCTACTTTGGCTTGTTGGTTTGTTTTCTTGTGCTCATATTACATATTTGTACTTTGATAGTTGGATGTAATTGGTGATGGATATTGCTATTCATTTTTGTATCAGTTTATGACATAGACAGTGGGGGGTACTTATGAGAAAGTCTTGCTCTGTAGCGGTCTGAATCAATTTTCACACAAACTTGATGCGATAAAAAAATGTCTTCAAGTATGTTAGATTATTTCCAACGTAATGAAGTTTTCAGGAATATATTATAAATGTTCACTGTATCTAACGTATGAGGAAATTTCAGTATTCTTTGTATCAGTGAAGCGAACTGTAGAAATTCAGTCACGGGGCAGAACTTGGGGGTTTGAAACAAAATGGCAGCCTCAGATTTACTTTGTTACGTGATTGGTGAATGGTGAATCCACATTCCCGTAAGATGGACGTCATAATAACCATCCATAGATCACCATAAACCAGACAGTCGGGGTGCTTTTTCTTTACTGATATTGCCATATATGTTATCACAATCGAGGTGCCATACCATTTCCCCTTGTAAATGGGGGAGGAAAGAGCTACTTGCTGATGGAATTGGACAGTCATTCTAATTTGTCGTTGGTGATAACTTCACGAGTATATTCATATGGAACATGCAAGGATAAACTCAACAGAGAGAGTAGCAAATGTTTATAATTGCCTCCACACGAAAACCTCAACCACTGAATATAACACAGATCCAGCCCTTCGATTTTCTCATTCTTATACATTTGGCACACTGCTAGCTATAAGACAAACGCAATACAGAGAAGAAGCCCGAGAGAACCCACTGGCTGATCAACCATTGGCAATCCTTCCACCTGCAGTTTGGAAAATATCCGTTATTTGTAAATGTCCATAAGTAGTATTACAACCACAAGAGATTTGGGATTTCCAGAACACCTTACCATTAGGATGAAGAACTTGGCCAGTGAAATAGGAAGAACAGCGATCGCATGCCAAGAAAACATAAGAAGGTGCGATCTCATAAGGCTGCGTTGCCCTGCCCATTGCCACCTGCGATCCTAAGCATTTGATCTTATCACCGGGCATAGATGCAGGCTGCAATGGCGTCCAGACTGGACCACAGCATTTACACGAATTCCTTTTATCTACAAGCTGCAAAGCTAGACCCCTGGTAAAAGCTACAATTGCTCCTTTGGTGGAAGTATAGTCTAGCACCTCTGGGCCGCCAACGTAGGATTAACAGATGTTGAGTTGATGATGCAACTACCTTCTTTCATATGCTTTAGAGCATGCCTGCACCACCAACCTGTGTAATTATGTTGCCAGGATTTCTGTATGAACAGAAAAATCTTAACGTAGATTAATTATTCACACTTTTGAATTCCACGCTAGTCGTTGAATGGCATCAGACAAGACCACAGTACGATCATCTCTCTTCTATTGCTTTACATGTCTTTGAATTTTCTTTATTACCTGGTGATGAAGAACTGAGAAAATATATTGGTTCTAAACACCCCTCTCAAGCCTAGGTTCAGTAGTCTCTTCAAGGTTGGAGTTAAGTGCTGTTCAGCTGCATTATTCACCAGAATATCAATCCGGCCATGTTCACCGACTACTTAATCAACAACTCTCTGGCAATTTTCATCGAATCCAAGGTCTGCAGCTATAGCAATAGGATCTTTTGCATCAATTGCCTTCACTTCTCGTAGCATCTGCAAAGTATCATCCTTTTCTTTCTCTTCCTCACCTTTCACATATGCAAAAGCTACAGTTACACCCTCTAATGCAAAATGGTAGCATACAGACCTTCCTGTCCCGGAATCACCTCCTGTCACCAAAGCTATCCGTCGCTGCCATGATCACTACAATATTAACATTGAGAAAGGACAAGTTAAAGTCCATAAAACATAGGTTTACATATCTAAGTGGTTATTGGCTGGTTGACAGCAATAAGAACAGTGTAGTTTGTTATGCGAGAACAACAGAAACAAAATATATACATGTAGCTTGTTGGAACGCTTGTACTGAGGGCTTGTGGCCTGTGGGAGTGGGTGCATCACATGATCTTCGCCTGGCTGCTGTTCTTGACTCTGCGGCGGAAACTGCTCCCCCTCGTTGCCATCAGCATGAAGACCAGAAAAACACTACTTTTTGAATTCTGATATTCACAAACCTTTTCTTTGCCTATGTATAAACCGCAGTGTGTACGGGGGACCTTGATCCTTACTGTATGGTACGCGTTGGTGCAATCCAGAACGTCTAGCTACGTGTCATAATAATATTGCCAGCCACGTATGAGGTGCATGTTGCACATGTGTCATCAAGGATTCCCATGTGGCATTTCTCTGGTGAATAAAAACAGTTTTTGTTCTAAGCTGAGTGCAAAAAGTTGCAAGCTATTAAGATTTGAGATAGCTTTTGCAACCAATTAAGATTATGAATTTTAAAAATAATGATTTTTTTTTACTTTAACTTATAATTCAAAATTTATTTTTTTTATAAATAACTTATGATGAAAATGAATTAAAATGATTTTTAAATTGAAAGTATATTTGGTAAAAATGACTCAAATTAATCTTTTTGAAAAATAAATATAGTATAAATTAGGAATAATTGTCAGAAAAACTTTCTCAAAAATATCTACGATACTCATCAATTTATTTTCAAATCTTCCAAAATCTAAAACTGTATATTTATATTGTCATTGGGACTCCCTATTCCTTTCATTCCCTTTGATCTAATTTAATGAATAAAAAGACAATTTTTAGTAGTTTGATGCAGTCTTGCGCAGTGTAGAGATGATAATGGGCCTTCCAGACCAAGGAAGGATGTATTAGATCACTATAGTTCGAGACCCTTTTTGTTAACCTGTGGAATTCATTCCATTCTGTAAAGTAAGATGGGGAAGGTCTGTCAAGTGTCAAGCCTCACTTCTCTCCTTCCCTCTCCCTACGCTATGATCTCAGGCTCCCTCATCAAAAGGTCTGCTTCAAAGTAGGGATTTCGGTTCAGAAGATGATCAACCATAAATGGGGCTAATCCCATGGATGCTGCTAACCAGCATCTAATTGAATGAATAAAACAGGTATTTACTTTTTTCCATCAAATATATACTCACTAAAATATTCAATAGTTATTAAAGTGGATAAAACAAAAAAATACATATATGCTAATATGATTTTAGGACATGGATATGAACTCTTTATTCTATTAATATCTATTAATTTGTTTTGATTTTTTTAATATATAGAAATCTAATTGTATAAAATTTAAAACATAAGAATCAAAATATTTTTAAAAAAAACTTTTAAGACAAAAAAAAAACCTTATAAAAAAATTATTAAAATGAGTGTCAAATTCGAAGATAAGATTAAAAAAAAAAAAAATGGAGTTAATGAGCCAGTACAAGCCCATAGTCATCCCTATTCGAGTAATTAATCATATCTCTCACACATACACATCCTCGCGCACCATATATGATGCATATTTATAGATACCAAAGTTGAACATGACTAACTTAATATCAATCAATTTTTTTTTTCAAAAAATGTCCTATTTTTTCAAAAATTTTCAATATTATTTATTTATTTATTTAATTTCTTAAAATAATTTGAAAAAAAAGTTATAAATAGCTAATTAATTAATTTTGAAACAAAATAGACTATTTATTTCGTTGCGCAAAATTTATAATCTGCTCATTGGATAGCTTAATTATGTAGGCTTTAAATGCAAATGAAGAAATTGGGACCGACTTGAACTCTACGTTCAGAGCGACTCTCCAAGAAACGTTGGAGATTACGACTTTCCAACATAAACCTCGACGAGAACCACATAATGTAATCCGTACAGTTGCAAATTAAAGTTAAAGGTCAAAGGCATAAATGATCCTTAAAATCAAACACTACACGCCAACCTCCTCAACACGAATCACACAGTATTTCTCGCACACGAAACTTTCCAATGACTTTATTATTAGATAACTACCAAAAAAAAAAAAAAACCCTCTAAAAATCTTTTATTAAAAAAATTTATCATTATTTTTAAACCTCTCAATTTCAAAAACAATATTTATCTTATCAAAACATCCAATGATTATAAATTGAAGATTAATTATTAAGTGTTTTGATAAGAAAAATATTATTTTAATTAGTTCAAGAGAGTTAAAAATAAATTAATAGATTTTTTAGATAATTTTTTTTAAAGGATTTTCTATGCTAATTATCAATATAAATTTAGAATCTACAAGTTAAAAGTTTAAATTTTCAAATTTTAATTAAAAAAATTGATTTAATTTTTTATTTAAGTTAAGATTTATTTCTATCCAAACATATTACTAATTTGTTTTTTTGAATTAAAAGTTAAAAATTACTTAAAAAAATTTGCAAAAATCATGCCAATCATAATTTAAGTAACACATTAAACTATTTCTTTGAACTAGTGTAGGTTTCTTGCATTGTTGCGACTAAATAATAGGAAATTAGGTATTAAAATAATAAGAAGGATTTTTATGAAAAATATTAAAAATATAGGCACCATGATAAAATAAACCTAAAATTATTCACCGAAAAATTTAGTTATTCCAACAATCACGGAAACTATTGATAATCTGTATTTTCAGAAACCTTTTTTTTATGAAAGTCATTTTGTCATAAGAAGGATTTACTTTCCGTCAAACAACGAGCCAAAATATGCATTTTATCATGGGGGATAGGGGGTCACTCCCTATTCCCATCATTCCCTTTGATCTAATTTAATGAATAAAAAGTTAATTTTTAGTAATTTGATGCAGTCTTGTCCAGTGCAGAGATGACAATAGTCTGATACAGTATCGTTCGAGATCGCTTTTGTTAACCCGTGGATTCATTCCTTTCTGTAAAGCCTCACCTCTCTCCTTCCCACTCTATGATCTCAGGCTCTCCCTCATTAAAAGGTCTGTTTCAAAGCAGGGGTTTCGGTTCAGAAGGGGATCAACCATATATAAATGGGGCTAATCCCCTGATGCTGCTGACCAGCATCTAATTGCATGGATAAAATAGATATTTATTTTATCTGATTTAATAAATATTAAAAATATTTAATAGATATTAAGATGGATAAGATTAAAAAAAATATATATTTGTTAATATAATTTTAGGATATAGATACTCATTTTTTATTCTATTACTATTCATTAATTTATTTTAATTTTTTTTAACATGTATAAATTTAATTACATCAAATTTAAAAATTAAGAATCGAAATATTTTTTAAAAAATTTAGGATAAAAAAAATTATAAAAAATGATTAAAATGAATATCAAATTCGAGGATAAGATGGGAAAAAAAAATTAAGTCAATGAGCTGGTAGACGCCCATGATCATCCCTAGTCGAGTGATTAATTATATTTCACACGCACAAACTCGCGCACCATATAATCGAAACATAATACCGTGTGGCTTAAGCTAGCATAATATATAATCGAAACATAATTGTTTCATTGATTAACAATAACTGATAATTACAATATAGAACATATACAAACTGCTGGTAGCTCCACAATTATTCAAGTAAATGTTTGGGCTAAAATAGTACTAATTAAATACAATCAGCTCCAGAGTCCAAGACTGAGATTAATTTCCCAGACATTGTAGCGTACAATAGCTAAATTGATTGGCAAATCTGAAGCTCCAATGAAGAGTACCCTTGTGACTAGCTACAGCTTATTTATGAAGCAGAGTCTCATATTTCTACGACAACATATATATATAGCGTAAACACACGACCAATTGCAGAACAAACAGAACCACAAGATCGATCAAGCTGACAAGAGAGATCAACCATTAATGATCGTACCCCCTGCATTAGGAACAAGTCCCGATAATATTAGTTATATATAAATAAATGACCTTCAAACAGTTAATAACGATTTAAATTTGAAGTTGTGCCATACCATTAGGATGAAGAACTTGGCCAGTCATGTAAGATGAACACTGATTGGATGCCAGGAAGACATAAGAAGGTGCCATTTCGTAAGGTTGTCCTGCTCTTCCCATTGGCACGTCAGACCCCAAGTATTCTACCTCATATGCAGGAAGAGTTGCGGGTTGCAATGGCGTCCAGATCGGACCAGGAGCCACACCATTGACACGAATCCCTTTATCCACAAGTCGTAGGGCCAATCCCCTAGTGAAGGAAACAATCGATCCCTTGGTAGACAAATAGTCCAGTAACTGTTGAGGGGAGCCAGCATAAGCAGTGACGGAGGTCGTGTTGATTATACAACTTCCTTCTTTCATGTGCTTTAATGAATGCCTGCGCATATGTAAGTACCAATGTAAAGAAAAAATATACATGAAGTTTCAATGTTTCATCTAGTTTTTGGATTTCCAAAAGACGTCTGAAATTTTTACCAGGACAGTTTTTCATTGAGTTCTTGAAAAAAAAAAAAATCTCCAAAAAAGCCAAAACCTGCTATGCTTGACGAAACCAAATTTTCTAATTATTTCTGCCTGAAATGGTTCAATTATATGCATTGTTCACCTATGAATACATACGAATTTAATGCATGCACGCTTCTCAGCACTTATTTTCTTACTTGGTCATGAAGAAATAAGCAAATATGTTGGTTCTAAACAGCTTCTCAAGCCAAGCCTCGGTAATCTCTTCCATCGAATTGGTATAATGCTGCACGGCAGCGTTATTCACCAGAATATCAATCCGCCCATATTTACTCACAACTTGATCGACAACCCTCTTGCAATTTTCTTCTGACGTAACATCAGTAGCTATGGCAATTGGATCTTTTGCATCGCATGACTTAGCCTTCGCTAGCATCATTAGTGTGTCATCCTTGTCTCTGTCCTCAATGCCTTGTACATATGTAAAGGCCACAGTTGCACCTTCTAATGCAAAATGGTAGCATACAGATCTTCCTATACCCGAATCTCCTCCTGTCACCAGAGCTACCTTTCCCTGCGGTAAAGTATCAGAATATGTATATATAGTTGCTTCAGTAACATTAAATACATATTAATTTGAGACAATGAAGTTCGGAAACATCCTCATAAGCACATTTATAAATATATGTAGGTGCATGCACTTATCATATACTTAATCTGTAGGAAAAATTAAGAGAAAAGGAGAAATAAATTAAGTGCGTACTTCAAGTTTGTCGGAAGGCTTGTACTCAGGGTTTATGGATTGAGGAAGTGGCCGCATGACATATTCTTTCCCTGGTTGGTGAGGTTGAGTTTGTGGTGGAAACTGAGGTTTTCTATGTTCTTCCATGGTCTGTTAGAAACTGTACAAATTCTCAAATCAACTATGACAAAGAGAGGGAAGTAGGTGTAAACCAAAGTGAACGAACCCTTTGCTTTTGCTTGCGCGGAAATGGAGAGCAGGATATATATCTCGAGGGATCTTCCTTTTTATAGGGAAATTGGTAGAGTATCGTTCAACAAGGACACTTATTATTAGATAACATCTATGATTACCATTTTCAGGATTAGTACTCTCGTGTTTATATAGAAAAAGGAACACTGCTTCTGTAGATATACCTAATTATCTCTTCTACTAATTCCATACGTAAGCATAAGCTCAGCCTGCGACGCGTGCTGCTCCTGGGCTCTTGAGAATTAATTGAAGTTGCTAATTCGGCAAGTTTCCAACGCATTTGGCACAAGTTTGAAGGAATAGTATTACTTATCCCTGTACTTCAGGTTGCTAATGCGTAAGAAAATGATCTTGATCCTAAAGGAATTAATGGTAGACAACTAGTTACACTGTTTCTTATCATTAAGGAACAAGTTACACAAAACCACGCAACGCACGTACTGATTCACTGGTTCAAACCAAAATAATTTTGAACACGTTAGAGCGTGGAAAATGATATACCTATATAATCACCGACATCACACAAATCGTTAAGTGGGGAAAATGATATATACCTATACAATCACCGTCATCACATATATCCTTTTTATTCCACTTAAAAGTCATTCGGATAAGGCTTTGTGTAAACAAGACAATCTTGATGACTTGAGATCATTTTTTTGTAAACCCCGAAAAATTAATATGGACGATTGATTTGAAAAAAAAGCAAGTATTGCTCCTCTTACCTGTTTAAAAGAAAAGACATCTTTAATAAAAGTATAACTTTACAAATAAATTGTTGGTATAGTAATAAATAAATTATTTTTCAAACAATTTTTTTATCAATATGTAAATCGTGAATATATATTTATTGAAAGGAGTTAAATTTTGTTGTTTTTATTTCAAACATGATTAATCCTATATTCAAGATAAAGATATTTAGAAAAAAATAAAAAAAATAAAAATATACTTTTTAAAATATTTATATCAGATCATCATTAAACATTATTATCATTGTACTGATAGACAACAAAATTCGTTTAAAGAAATTTTAAACTCTCAATAGAAGTTAGGAGCTGTTAAATATAAAAAAGAGATCAATTTGTAATCCACTCCATGCAAGTTGATAATACATGTACTTTTTTTTTATATATATATCTTAATCTTGTTTTTTTTAGTAAAGTTAAAAAAATGAATTTTAGAAAATAAAAAATAGAAAAAGATGAAGATAAATCATATCATTCATTCTCTTAAAAGAAAAAACTCAAAAAAGTGATGATAAAAATAATTTTTTTATCCAAAAGATCTTTTATTGACCTAAATTTGTTTCTAGTAAGTAAATTTTGAGCATAACATAAAATTTTATAGTTTTTTTTTTTTTAATGTGAAGGGAGTTTAGTTAAAATTTTAAAATTATAAAAATTATAAAATCAAAATATGTAAATTATAATAGACTTTTTGAGGTATTATAAAATTATAAATACATTCAAAAGCTTAAAAATTTAATTAAAATTCTCTTCACATTTTAAAAAACAATACTATAAATATTTTATTTTATACTTAAATTTGCTTGCTATCATAAAGATAAAATTCAAACCCATTAAAAATAGTTTAGATAAAAAAAATATACCTTCGCTTGGTTTTTGTTTTTTTTTTTAAAAAATTTTTAGAGAGAACGACTAGATATATATTTTTTATTTTTTATTTTTTTTTCAAAATTTATTTATTTAAATTTAATAAAAAAATTAAGACGAAAAAATAGAATAGATGGATGAGATTAAGATCAAACAAGAAAAAAAATAATTCAAAAATTATCAAAAGGACCATATTAAGACATAAACAAAATACACAGAGATGAACTTCAATTAAAAACGGATAAAAAGACACAATAAAAAAAAATAATAATAAGAGTTGAGAGATCTCTGCAACCATTAATTTTTAGAAAAAAGACAAAGAAAGAAAGAATAGATTTCAATTATTATTATTATTCTATATGAATCCTTTTTAAAATTCATTTAATGATTCGTAACATGATCATATATAGTTTGGGAATTGGCAGCAAGACATTTCCCTTTTTTGGCATAGAAGAATTTGTTTTCTCGTAATTAATTAAAACTTAGTACTTCTGTTTGACTCCTCTCTTTTTCTAGTTTTTATAGCTTGTTTGCCCTCTTGTTTTCTTTTTTAAATAGTTTTGTTAGAATTAAAATTTCCAAATAAGAATTTTGTAAACAATTTTAAATTTCATTACTGAAAAAAAAAAATGAAAGATGATTATTTTATTTATAAAACACATTAGATTCCACTTTAAAAGGCATGGAGGAAATGTTTTAATTTCCGTTAACCTCTAGGTAGATGTAGATGTTTAGACTAACGATTTGTCACAAATAAAGAAGCCCTATCTTGGGACCTGACAATACCATGCCATAATAAAAAAGTACAACGTAATTTACATAAATGACGTCGCCACCGGAGCTATTCTAAAAAGGGATAATTCTTTTAAAATCAATTTCAAACTATCTGCTAGAGTTTCTAACAATAGAACTACCGTTGTGCCTTCTATCATCGTATATCCGGTAGATTTGGTAGGAGGAGGCCCCGACTTGGTTTTAGAATTAGAGTTCCGATCCACAGCAGCAGCCCATTTTTTTGATTTGGAGGAATCTAGTTTTTCTTGCCAACTATCAACCCGTCTCTTTTCATCATCCATGCATACATAACGAATTTGCACAATGTATTCATGTCATAACACATGAATAGTAACTAACATTTTTATGGAGACTAGAACTATATTTAGAATATGTGTATTTGATTATTGACTTAATTTTAATTTATATGGCATAAACATACAAAATTAAGCATAAGGACTAATATATATATATATATTCTGTAGAAAACTAAAATAAAAATTTTAAATGTACATGGACCTAAAGGCAAAACATTAAATATAAGAACTAAAATAAAATTTTTAATAAGGTGCATTCATTGAATTTGGATTATCTCACATGGTTTCTCAAATGATTTGTCATATGGCACAATATTTTTCTTTGTTTTAGCTGCTTGAAAGACAAATAAAATAATAAAATAATTGCACAACGGTTACTTATTAGCTTATTTTTAAGTATTTTTAGAAATTTTAAAATAAAAAATTATCGATAAATTAGTATGATATATAGCTAGAGATAATTTAGAATTTCTGTATTATATATGTTATTTATAATCGTATGTAACTTATAAACAGAGATGTAAAGGAAAAATATAAAGTTTGCCTTCTTTCTAGATTTTTTGTTTTGGAGAACATAGGGCAAAACAAATGGTTGATGCAGGTTGTTTTTAGTAACTAGTTATGGATCTCGTGGCGTTATTCACATTGTTGGTCAAGTGACTTGTAAATTAATGATGGAAGTGGGAATAGAGGGATTCAATTAATCAATTTTCAAGTTGAGGGGTCCTCTAGACCAAATTAAGAAAATATACAGAAGAATGATGCGAGTAATTAACTTTATTTTGTCCAGAAAAACCCCGGCTGGCTTAGCACATCTTATCAATTGGATTCATTTTAAAACTTGACTCTTGAGATCCGATTTCAAGTTTCTATTTCCTTTTTTTTTTTTTTTTGTCCACCAGATTTAAACGGGGATCATGATGTACCGATATATTTAGCCATCTTTTTTTTTTTTTTAAATACATATGTTTATAAGCAGTAGGGTATTTGTAGGTCTATTTGGATCGCAACGACAACGACTAATCCTTGAGTTTCCACATGTGATGGTCTACGCAAATTATTTGCATAACTTAATTAAAGATGGGATTTTAACTTAAAACCTCTCCGCATCTTAAGTCAAGTCCTTATCATGTGCTTGTAAATAATTAGGAGATACTAGTAAAGAAAAAGATTAATGGATGCATGAGTCTCTCAATTTTGTTTCTTGCTTTTATCATATTTCGCTATTTTTTTTTCTGTGTTATTTTATTAATTTTTTTAGGCCAATGGTGTTAATTATTATTATTATTTTTTGTCTTAATCCCATTACTTTACTCTCTCTCTACTCTCTCTCTGTTATCAAATTTAAATAAATAAATTTAAAAAAATGTGAAAATAAAAATAAATTTTTATTCAAAATATCTTCAATGAGTTATGAGTTTTTTAAATATAGAATGAAATTAGTTGATTGTCCAAGCAACAGTAAGAGTAGTGCTATGACATGGCGGCAAGTTAAGTTTTTTCTAGATATTATTGAAATCATTGAGTTCTTCTAAAACATAATGTTAATTTTTTATTTAAAAAAATTGATTTCAAAATATCGAAAATAAATAGTAAAGATGCATAATTAGTTTTCAATGAAACCAATAATTCGATATTTTTTCGTACATCATAATTATACTAGGTAATTTTAGAATTTGCAATATAAAAAGAAAAGCATTTTAAATAAAAACACTTCACTTGTAATGAAAATATTGAATAAATTTAAAATTAATAGACAAAACTAAAAACCATAACAAAATTGATTTCAATAAAATTTTATTATATAAAGAAGGAGTAAATACAACACATGAATTCCATTTTTTAAAAAAATATATTTTTCTACTCCTAGGCCATACATAACTAGTCTTTGTGTACATGCCCTCACACGTATATGAATTCTTTCCTTTTTTTTTTTCATTTGAATTTGAATAATTAATTAATTATTTCTAAAATTTCAAGACAATTTATCTAAAATATACTTGTAGGTCTCATTTAAAGATCATAACAATTCATCATATAAACTATGTTACTTTATTAGAGAGAGAGAGAGAACAATAATGATTAAAATTTTACTCCAAAATTCATACAAAAAGAAAAATAAATTATATTTTTCAGTAAATAAAATTTTAATAAGAAAATTAAAAATTAATTAGATGAGAATTTCATAAGAAATGACAAATCAAATGAATAAATTTGAATAATAAAGTTAATATAATATGAAATATACTGTAATATTTCCGATCCAAAATCCTCTTTAAATGTAAATATGCTATAAGGATATTTTGTTTAATTAATAAAAGAATATTCAGATAAAGCGATGAATGAAAGTTTATACTTGTATTAAGAATAAATTAAATACAAATATGATTATTATAAAAGGAGAAAGGATTAATTAAAGTTTGAATTAGAGGTTTATAATATTAATTGATATGGTTATATAATATCCCCTACCTAAAAACCTCCTTAAAAAGTAAATATGTTTGAAATAAGGATTGATAAATTATGCTTGAATAAATAATAAGTTAATGCAAGCATAATTATTATGGAGGGTAAATGAATTAAACAGAAGGTGAATAAATTAATTAAAGTGTGAATTAGAGGATTACAATATTAATGGTTATCATTATGTATAAACCTAAAAACCTCCATAAAAAGTAAATACCTTTTTTTTTTTTTTAATGTTTTTATAGATAGATCCAGCCTTCCTCTCCAAAAGCTAAAAAAATAAAAAATTTTGAATGGTATTTATAATTTTATAATACCTTAAAAGTGTTTATTTTAATTTTTTTTAAAAGATATATTCGGTCATTATGTTTGAAAATTGAAAAATTAAAAATAAAACTAAAAACAGATAAAAATATTTTTAATCTAAAATATACTTTAGGTATTTAAAATTAGGTTTTTTGGCAAAAAATATTCGCAAACTATTGAGATTATGGCAATTTAAGGTCCTTATTATCGATTTGATTTATTTGAATCCAAACTATTATTTTATGAAAAAATGTTATCCTTCATCTCGTTATCTTTGATGATTTAAGTGTTAATCATTAACTTGAATCTTTAAACAATATCATTTAGTTTTTTTTTTTTTTGGTTAAATGGAAAAAATTACCTTCAAAAGATTGGATTATGACAATTTAATGCTTTTACTATCAATTTGGGTTATTTAAACTCTAAACTATTATTTTATGGATAAATGTTATCCTTCTTTTGTTGTTTTTTACGATCAAAGTATTGACCATTAACTTAAATGCTTAAATAACATTTTTTAAGTATTTTTTTCTTTTTCTTTTTTTCAAAAGAAAATTAATTTTTTAAAAAAGTATATAATAATGGTTAATACGTATCACATGTCTTTCTAATATGTGACGACAAGTCGTCCCGAGACACTATTATATCAACTGAATTAATTAAACTCAATTAAGAGAGAAAGAGAAGCTACGATCGATCAAGTCAAGAGTTTGTAGCCACGAATAAGAGAAAAATGAGACATGAGTCGGACTTAAAATATTGTTATAAGAAAGCATAAATTCTAGAATAATCCCAACAATAATTTAATTGTGTAGCCTCTTTCTCTCTATTCAATTCAATTAATTCAGTTAATTTAGTAGTTTCTTAGACGACATTTCATCAAATATTAACATGACATGTTGTCCGTATTAACCATTTATTTTTTAATTAATTTTCTTTCACAAAAAAATGCTTAAACAACATTGTTTGAACTTTCAAGTTAATAGTTAATATTTTGAGTGTAAAAGATAACGAAAGAAGGATAACATTTGCTTGAAATTGATAGTGATGGTGTTAAATTGTCATAATTGCAAAGTTTAGGGTAATTTTTGGCATTAAAAAAAAAACTATACTATTTAAACGACGTCATTTCAGCATTCAAGTAAACGATCTACGTTTTAATCATAAAAAATAACGAAACAAGGATAAAATTTATCTATAAAATAATAGTTTGAGGTCTAACTAACCCAAATTAGTTGTAAAGACCTTAAATTCCCTTAATCTCAATAGTTTGAGAGTTATTTTTGCCATTAAATCTTTGGAATTATCTCTATGATAGTAAGCAAAATTTGAGTATAGAATAAAATATTATATTATTTTTTCTAAATGTCAAAAGAGTTTTAGTTAAACAAAAATATTTATAGTTTTCTTTTAATGTCAATAGAGTTTTAGTTATATTTTTATATTTTTAAATGATATTTATAATTTTGTAATACCTCAAAAGAGTGTATTATAATTTACTTATTTTTATCTTACAATTTTTTTCCCTTTAATTTGACCCCTAAAAAGTGAGAATATAAATTTTGTTATTATTATTATTATTATTATTATTTTGTTGAGAATATTCACTCAAAAGTGGTTAAAAAGCTGGATTTATCTTCACATTTTTTCTTTCGTTTTTCATTTATTTATTTAAATTTGATAAAAAGGAATAGAAGGATGAGATAAAAAATATATATATATTAACATGTGTCACAATCTTGTGGTGCCAAAAGGCCATTTAATACAGTTAGCATAAAAAATTAATAGAATGAGATTATTAAAAAAGAAATCAAACGTGAAAATGCCAACTTAAAATGAAAACAAGTAAAAAAAAAATCCCTATAACCATTAACCCGTAAAGAAAATTTGTAAATTGAAATGGGAAATTGAGAGAGCTGAAAAGTGCTATTTCGTTAAGTATCATATTCTAAACAAACAAAGCTAACGTAATTGCCGATGTATCCTAGCTATTTGTTTTGCAATTGGTGCTTAGTCACTCAACTCAAATAACTTCAAAAGTTTCTTAACTCAGAATCAAGTGAACACCCTCAATAATCAATTTCGATTTTTTATTTCATGATAAATATGCCATACAATAGAGGATCCAATAGTATGATTTTGAAATTACATAATTACGTAGTCTACAATCCCATACATTCCACTCCCTATTCTAATGGAATTTCATTACATATATCCTTCAAGTTGGAAAATCCAAGCTCAACCCTCTTCTGTTTCCTTTGTGATTATACCCTCAAGGCTTGAGATAACAGTAATACAGACAGGTAACATAACCAGTTAAACTAACAGAGTTGACTGAAACGTCAGGACAACCACAGGCTTCATGCGCACAAACATAGTGATAAGAAACTATAATGCATTTTCCTATACCTATCACAGGGACAATACCGTACGTAATGAACCATGATTCCTTTCCTAGTTTCCCATGCTCAACCCGAACACTTAGTTTCCCCACTATAATACAGGGCTAGTTGCAGGGCGATTAGAACCAAGGAGATGACCAAAATAACCCAATTTGATCAGATCAAGCATTGACAATTATCCCGCCTGCAGTAAAAATAATGTAAAAGATTGTAAACCACTACATACGAAGAGTAAATACAGGCACAAAATAAATCAATGATGTTCTAAAATATACATACCATTAGGATGCAGAACTTGGCCAGTAAAGTAGGAGGAACACTCGTTGGATGCTAGGAAGACCTAAGAAGGCGCGATCTCAGAAGGTTGTGCTGCCCTATCCATTGGCACATCAGACCCCAAGCTCGCAACTTTTTCAGCAGGCTGTGATGCTGGTTGTATTGGCGTCCAGACTGGACCTGGAGAGACAGCATTAACACGAATGCCTTTGCTTATAAGTAGCTGGCTTAAACCCCTGGTGAAACTTACAATGGCTCCCTTAGTGAAGCTGTAGTCCAGAAATTGTGAGCCTCCCGTGTAGGCATTAGCAGATGCTGTGTTGATGATACAGCTCCCTTCTTTCATGCATTTTAGAGCATGCATACACCAAATACGAAACAATCATTAGTCCTTGGATTACCAAGAGTAGTCTGGCATCATCCTTCAGTTCGATCTCTTTCAAGGTATGCATGAGATTCGATATCAGATTATTACTTGATATATGATGTTGACTGATTCTGCAAGCTAATTATAAACTCACATAATAGCATAAAACCCAAGCTGGAAACATAATCTTTAGGAGATAAAATTCATTACTTTACTCTCAATAGATCTACGATTTTATTATTCGACTGATCAAGAGCCAACTACAAAATAACAATCCATGTCCATTCAAAATTGTATGATGCATAATTCCAGTTAATTTGGATCCTAAAAAATTTTAGTATACTTACACAATTCCAGTTCCAGTCCCTCTAACTGAAATGAACAAGACTGTTTGGCCTGACATAATGGTGGCATGGTTAATTATATGCTTAACTATAATGTTTAATTTTGTGTGTGTGTGTGTGTGTGTTTTTTTACCTGGCCATGAAGAACTGAGAAAATATATTGGTTCTAAATATTCTCTCAAGCCTAGACTCGGTAATCTCTTCAATTGTGGTGACATAGTATTGTTCACCAGAATATCAATCTGTCCACATTCGCTCACAATTTGATCAACAACCTTGTTGCAATTCTCTTCAAATTTAACATCAGTAGCTATGGCAATAGGATCTTTCGCATCATTTGACTTTGCCTTGAGTAGCATCTGCAAGGTATCATCTTTGTCCCTGTCCTCTATCCCTTGTACATATGTAAAGGCCACAGTTGCACCCTCTAATGCAAAATGGTAGCATACAGATCTTCCTATCCCAGAATCACCTCCTGTCACCAGAGCTACCTTTCCCTGCCACGGATCACAAATATCGCCTCGGCACATGATCACTAACATTCATATGCCACAAAATCGTAATTTCCTACCTAGCTATGTAAGAAATAAAATGGAGAAAGGAAGAAGAACGTGTAAGTATGTGATATATGCATGATCTAGATATTAAAAGAAAAGGATGTACTTGGAGCTTTTTGGAAGGCTGGTAGTCAGGATTTATGGCCTGTGGAAGTGGATGCATGAGATATTCTCTGCCCGGTTGTTGTGGTTGAGTCTGTGGTGGAAACCGAAACTGTTCCTTGTCAGTTGCCATCATGTGCCAGAAATAATAAATTTCTTCGCTTCAACTTAAAACTGTAATAAGGTAGCGACGAAGAAACTTTTGATTGCTTTGCGAGCTGCATGATTAGCAGCGTTCCTGGATTAATATTTATAGACAAGATGGCATTAGGTGGACGAATCCTACCCCCTAAAATCTACTTAGGTGTCCAGATATTTGAAAATTATTGCCAAAGGCATGCGTAATCCTTTATTAGGGATGACAGTGGGCAGGGTATAAAATGGATACTCTACCTAGTTCGTTTATTAATTACCCTTTTAAAATACCGTAATGGATAATGGGTTAAATATGAATAAAATAATATTACCTATTTATATTCATGAACAATTTATTCATAAATATGGATATTTTTTTTATCCTATTAATATCCATCTTTTACCTATTAACATAAAAAGTACTAAGAAACAAAATTTTAAAATAAACGAAAAAAAGAGAGAGAAAAAGTATGTAATTAATCATTCGATAGTTTCGTTGATATTATTATTATTATTTATATATTAAAAAAAATAGTATTTGTAAGGAACTTATGTAATTAACTACGGTTTCGTTGATATTATTATTATTATTATTTATAATTCAGTTTAACATTTATCTAAACAATCACACGCACAATTTGACTAGTGAATCTCTCTATTTTATTATTATTATAATTATAATTTGTGAATTATTATTCGCAAATCTCATTATTAATATTACTCTTAACATGGATTAATAACCTACTTTTTTTTCTTATTGGTCAAGTCAATCTAAACATTATTGCGGATAATATTTATTCACAACTCAATTATTAGATTTTGGACATTATTATCACGGTAATATTATTGCTCGTACTTGAGATTTTTTGATATTATCTACACTTGACGGTTAATATCTTCGGTTACTTAATTAATTATACGTAAATAATAATAATAATAATAATAATAATAATAAATAAAGTGATGTTATTACCTAATTTATTTTCTTCCAAATGATCCGTGGTCATGAAACATATAAAAAAATCAAAGAGTTTTGTTTGTTGTTTTACTTTATTTTTCAATCTCAAGTGTGCTGGTACTTTTTTCTGCCACATGCAAAAACTTTTGGATTTATTTAGGTTCAGCAGAATGCCTTGGAGTAAATTTCAAGTTTAATTATTGTGGTGCCATTTTGAATTTATAAGAAAAATAAGAGTCAATGGCCTGGAAAAAACCACTCCAAGTTTTTTTTATCTTTCTCAATTAAGAAAAAAAACTTTGTATAGAAAATAAAAAATAAATTAAATAATGGTTTGCAAGATAGTCCAACTCGTAAATCTTAATTTACTTTAACAATCACTTCATATGAATTAACTTCATCATTTCAATTTAAAAAAATTCAATAAAAAAAAATTGAAAAAAAAGTCTATAATTTTTTTTAAAAAAAAAGTTAATGGGTAAATGAGTATGGACAGAGTATGATATAATGGATATGGGTAGAATAAAGAAATGGGTAAATGAATTTTAGTGGGTAATGGATAAGGTAATAGGTATAGTATTTTTTAGTGGGTAAGGTAAGAGATAGGCTTAATGGATAGGGTAATGGATATAGTATTTTTTAGTGGCCTGGAAAAAACCACTACAAGTTTTTTTATCTTTCTCAATTAAGAACAAAAATTTTGTATAACAAATAAATTAAATAATGGTTTGTAAGATAGTCCAACTTGTAAATTTTAATTTACTTTAACAACCACTTCATATTAATTAACTTCATCATTTCGAGTTAAAAACAATTTAGTAAAAACAAATTGAAGAAAAAAACTTCAATTTAAAAAAAAAAGTTAGTGGGTAAATGATTATGGACAAGGTATGATATAATAGATATAAGCAGAGTAAAGAAATGAATAAATAATTTTTAGTAAATAATGAATAGAATAATGAACATAATATTTTTTAATAAATAAGATAAAAAATTAATTTAATGGGTCAAGTACCCGACCCATTGCCATCCCTATCCTCTACTTGGGTTATCTAATGTGTTGGCCAATTAGTCAAATCCGATTAAATGCATCAGCTTCTAGTCCCTTTCAACTTCAGCGAAGAGAGAAAAAAACAAAAGTATAGAAATTTTATAATACATGATTAGTAATTAGTGGCTTTATTTTATAAACATACGTGTATTTATTTATATTTATTTATCTTTATAGATGTAAAAATCTCTTTCTTTAAAATAATATATAAAATAACTATTATACATGTCATTAATTACTTTTTGTGTATTATAAATTTTTTTGAAAAGAATGGATCAAAAAGATCGATGTGATTTAGGACTGATTTAATTTAGGAAGTGATGAATTTAATTTTAATTAAAAAATATTTTAATATACATAGAATTTTTTCAAACGTTATGTAGATATAACTATAATTATGCAAATAAATGTGCGTGTAGAAAGATTTTCACATCTACGAAGACAAATAAATACAAATATTTTAATTTTTTGAATGTTAGAGATCCGCCTTCAACACACACACACACATAAAGGATTGAAATTACCTTCTATGACAAATGTAGAGATATGTATATATAAAGGTATTTTATGTCTTCATAAACCGTATTTTGCTAATTTTTTTTTGTTCGACCATAATGAGTATTTTTAAACTAGTTTAAATATTAATTAAGATTAATTAGAACAATTTAACAAATTTTCTTAAATACTAAAATTTAAACTAAAAAAAATGATCATACTTTTTTAACTATTTGGCTAACCTTGAAACTATTTCCTAAATAAATTGGTTTGTATTAATACTAAGATGATTTTTTATCAAGCCTTTTTGCATTCTTTGATATCAATTAATTTCATCTCTTCTAATGTCTCTTTGTAAATTGTAACATTAAACTATCGTTTTGGTTTTTATTTTCGTGCATTCTGGTTTCCCAATTGAAGGATGTTATTTTCAATAATGTACTATCAATATGTATGGTAAATGAAATCATATGTGCTTCATAGAGGTGAGTATCATTTGGTTTAAATCGAAAAACATAATCTATTTTGATTTGGTTTTTAACTTAAAAATTTTAAAAAAAAAAGCTGAATTTTTTTATTTTTTTTGTTCGATATGGTTTTTGAAATTTTTAATTAGGTTTAAACTGATTTTTTTAATATTTTTTTTAAGCTTAAAACAATGCAAATAAAAAAATCAATACCTTAACATTATTATGGATTGATGGATTTTTTTGTCTATTTATATTATTTAAATTTTTTTAAAAAAATCAGTTTAAACTAAAAAAAAATAAAAACTAAAATTTCGATTTTTAAACGGAAAAATCAAATAGTGATTGGGTTCTAACTTGATTATTTTTTTTGTAGGTTTGGTTAAATTAAAACCGAAGCAAAACTATTAAAAACCTAATAGAAAAACCAAATGATCATCCTAGTGCTTCATTCTAACACCAAGAGTAAAATCCAAATCTGAAGATCACAGCTTATGCGCAAAATAAATTGATAAACAATTTTATTTTATTTTTTCATTTATTTATTTTACAGAATACCTAGAGTTCTACTCAACTAGAAATGAAAAAACCCACCGCAACCCAAGAGCCTATCAAGCTGTGAACACGCGACAACGAATACCAATTACCGAGCTAGCTACTAGTTGGGGCCGGTGGGTAATTAGTAGTAATTGACAAAGTACGCCAAGGTTTAATCCTGATTGTTTAGAGGGGGTAAAAAAAAGGGTTAAAAGTTTCTTTCATGGCACCATCATGCATTAAACCGTTATTTGCCACTATAGCCTTTTCCCTTCCGATAATTCTCATGTTTATCCAAGCAGCAGATATAACTTAGTTATCGTGTACCTAATAGCTCTTTTTCAGTAAAATATATTTGAATCTTAATAACTTCAATTTATTTAATTATTATATAATAAGAAAAAGTTATTTTCGTTATGTAGTTCGAAATCCACAAGCTTCTCGACAAACTAAAAGAATGAACTTAACGGATATCTAGCAAGTAACATTTTAAAAGAAAGAACAAGAAAAGAGACGGGTAAAAAAAGTTTTCCCTTAAATATGGTACTTTTTAATTTATTATTCCAAAAAGATACTTTAAAACTTATTTATTAAAGGAGGGTTGTTTTTTTTCAGCATTGATCATATCATCTTCTTTTTTTTTTTTTGTTTCCTAGTGACTAAATTGAAATATTTGAATATTACATGGACAAAATCAAATCTCCACCATCATTTTCAACCTGTTGAATATTACATGTACCAAATCAAACCTCGGCCGTCATCTTTAATCTCTAACTCAAGAAGCCACTTCACTTATTGGAAACTCCATTATCATCTTCAACCTCTAATTAACAATAAGTATGGTTTACTTCATTGCAAAATGAGTAATGATGCGTCAAAATAAATCCAAATAGAAATAATAAATTTTTTCATAGAGAAATATAAAATCGAGCCTCACTCGTCAATGTAAATTTTTTAATTGAAATAGTTATTTGATATGATATCAAAGTTTTGATGAGCAAATGATTACAATTTTTGAATCTTACTATCCCACCTTTTCTTATAATTAAAATTAAATAATTAAATATAGACAAGTGATGGATTTGTGCTAGTTTAAAATAAAAAATTTAATAATTAAACACAAAATAATAATGGGTTAGTACTAGTTTAAAATCAAAAAAAATTTCGCTTGAAGAATGTATATGTTTAAAGTCATTTGTAATATAAAATCAGAGCATGTCAATGAATAATATAAAACTATTTTTGGAGTTTCACCCTAAAATTATAGATCATGGTGCCATAAACCAAATAAAGTGTAAATTAATCATTTTTGTCAACTAAAACATCTTGCAAGTATAATGAAAAAATCAAATGCTCATTTCAAGGTAAACTTAATCTCCAGTAAGCAAACACTAGTCAATCTATATCTTTCATAACTATTTCAATTCTCCAAGAAAATCTACATCTTTCGTAAATATTTCAATTGTCTAAAAACATGTTATAAGCATGTTCTTCTTTTCTCTACTTGATACCAGTCAAAATTCAATTTGTTTGAGTAAAATTATATTTGATAGAACACCATGAATCAAATCAACGCTTAACATCACTTTGGGATGAAAAAAAAAAATCAAAACCATGCTAATCTTTGTAGTTAAAAAAAGTTTTTTTTTTTTTTTTAATTAGAAAACGAGGATGTCAATGTTATAAACTGAAAAAATCAACAAAAAAATGTTCATACATGTATATTTCAGTTCTAAATTCATACGCAAAAAAAATTAATCAACTTGTAACCATTGTTGTGAGAAAAAAACAAAACAAAAATTCCGATAAAACTAGAGAAAAAAGTTTATGATGGCGGGTAGGATAGAAAGATAGAGATAGAAAAGATACAATGATGGGTAAAAATAAAAAAGATAAAACTCAGTTTGTTTTTCTTAAAAAAATTAAAATAATACTGACATGTAAGTATATATGGCACCAAATCATTAAAGATAAAAAATTAAAATAATACTGACATGTAAGTATATATGGCACCAAATATCTATATTAAAAAATAAGTTTAAAACACTAGTTGGGAAATCAAGATTTAAAACTACCTATTTGAAAAGGAAAAAAACTCCAAAAAAATGATCTGCGTCTGTATTTTTGAACAAGAAATGATTTCCAATCATTGTTGACACCATAAAAACGACAAAATTAAAACGTAGGTAGAAAATCTAAACCGAATTATACCACACTGAAGCGAAAAAAAAATGGCAATCGCTACTTCTGTTCAAAATTAAAGAAGGAAGAAGCTCTCTCTCTCCCTCTCTGTTTTTTTTTTTTTATAAAAAAAAACAGAATAACTTTAGCTTTTGATAGATAAGAAAATTGCACCAAATTAAAGAACTGAATTCTACCTACGAACGTGGAGGAAAAACGGAAAAACTGAGGAATGAGGACTGACGAATGAGCTGCACCAATCCATTGTAGATGGTCGACAACACATCTCTCTTTTTTCAGAAAGAGACTAACACGTCTCATTTTTCTGATCCAAACATATTCCCACTAGAAAGAGAACTCTGTTGATACACAGACTTCCACCTCTGTGTAGTTGACCCTCCAAAGGTTTGCATATGAAAATCAATCTTCCAAATTAAAGCTCGATCATAAATATTAAAACGTTTATGGTTGTTTTGGACATGGTCCATTGAAAGTTGCAAATAATAGCATCAGGCAAATAGAGTTTTCAACAGGTCAATTAGCCATTTCAAAATAATAATAATAATAATCATAATAAATAAAAATTAATATCTTGAATTGGTGAAGTCTCGAGTAAATTGTACATTATTCATCTAATTTTGTAAAATAAATTTAATAACTTTTTTAATTTAAAAAATTAATTAATTAATCTCTTCATTAGTGTTAACCATACTTAATGTAATATTACTTTATTTAAAAATAAAAATTCTTTTCTCATCAATCTTTTTAATTAAATAAATTTTTTAATTTTAAAAAAATATCTTGAATTGGTGAAGTCTCGAGTAAATTGTACATTATTCATATTTTTATTTATTTATTTATATTTTCTGATTTTTTTTTAAACAAACCGCAAAATAAATTGAAAAAGAAAAGAAAATGGTATTTTTACTTTTTTTTCATTTTTTCTATTTCTTAAAGAAAAACGACAAAATAAATTAAAAAAAAATACTAATTAATTAAGTCTTAAGATTAAAAAAATATTTAATTTGTTTTGTAAAACTAGGGAGATAAATTTAAAATTTACTCGTGAAGTTCTTAAAGAACAACAACACAGTTATCGAAGAACGATTTTTACATCGACGCCAGAATATTCCGAATGAGTGAGTTGGCATGGATCGAGTCTAGATGAGTACGGATAATACTATACATTTATTTTTAAAACCATTTAACCAAATGCTTTACTTGTCAACCCACTTTAAACGATTTTTAATTCGAAAACTAATTGTATTTAACAACAAAGTGTTAAGAAAAAAAAATCCGAATAAGGCCATATTTGTGAAAATATAGAGACTGAAATAAATTTTAAAAGAGACTAAATAAATATTTTTCAAAAAAAAAAAAAAAATCATTTTTTCCATGTTATACTTCCAAAATGGTAAAGATGAAGAGCTTATCTCCTTTTATTGGGTGAATGCATAAAGGAAAGTATCCACTCATGTTTTTTCAACGCATGCAAATTTGTGTCCGTTTTTCCCTATTCAGTCCTCTTTTTTCTCTTCGTCCAACTGATCATCCTTTTTCCTCTAGATCTTTCTGTCATCCTGAATATTCCGAACCTAAACAATGGCCTTATAGTCTTCCGCATATACTTGCTCCTTATCTGAAGCTTATACATTAAAACACTGTCGTTTTTTCGTGAGAAAAATACCAAATTACTAGTCAAAATTCCCGAGGTCAGTAGGACGAATCATATGGATAAAACATTTATGTACCTCCTGCAGAAATATCCTACTAAAAATCATACTAAGAAATACAATCTCCAATTTTTCATAACAAATTTTTAGACATTACCCTATTGAGGATTGATACAAACCAGAGCTCAAAAGGAGGGGAAATAGAACCATTTCCACCATTGTTCTACCTAACAATGATGTTCACTACCTGTTCCATTCATAGTCACCTCCATATCTTGGATTGACATTATTCACCCGGCCACTGTCATCTGGTTTTATGGAATTTGCATAGGCATGCCAGCCTAGGAGGTATGGCAAGATATACTGCAGGCGACATGAAATGAAGCACCTCAGAAATAACAAAATGATTCGATGGATGAATAAAATAAAATGTTTAATCCAAGATGAACTCGATCTCAACCAAGTTAAAAACAAATATATGAGGTACAATAAATTCAATCTCCCCAGTACTTGCCCTTTGTTCAGTATTTCACTCATGTCCTGGGATTTAACATTTGGTTCAAAAGCCAAGAAGCAAATTCTTTTTTGAAGGATTTACTATTTGTTACACAAGATCCAAATGCATTTGGTGTTAATAATATATCAGCCATCATGTTCTATCTTTACACTGGGCAAACTCAAATTATTTCCCCAACTATCCACCAATTCTCGACGAGGTTCCCAAACTATGAAGTTTCTCAATTGGAACCCCAAAGTATTAGATATTTCTCAATCAAGTCCCTACATCCATGTTTGTTTAATGTCTTCCATCTAACTTGCATATAGCATGCAATAAAACAACATAGTTTTGAGGAAAATGTAATCTGTAGAGAGTTGGGGGGGGGGGGGGGTTGTTTGAGTTAAGACGAGAGACCCCAGTAAATGATGCTTTGGAGACCCAATTGAAAAACATTTTACTTTGGAAGTATATTGAGAATCAATTCACAGTTGGGCACTATTTTGAGGTTTGCCCTTTTACATTTAGTACATTATCCTGCTTCTCTATTGACCCTCCATAGTACAAATTGCAATGGGGCGAGGCAAGGGTGTGGATGGCCCGTCCTCACCCCGTGCCCCATGCAGGGCACCACTACCCTGCTTGATTTTTTGCACCTGCCCCCATTTCATTCTACCTCATATCATCTTGTATCAAATTTTAAACTATAGCAAAAAGATAATAATCCATATAAAAAATACAATCAAGAAAGATAATAATTTAACATCATATTCAACTACAAGTTTACAACACAACTCATAATATATTAAATTGTTTTCAATCGAATAAATAATATACTTAATTAAGTTGATGAAGTATCACAAATGTAATTAAAAGACACAAATTCTTGTATGTCTTTATTACTTAGAGATTATCAAAACCCACTCATTATATTAGAGACTAGTTTATAGTCTCGGATTTTATATATATATTGGGTATAATTGTAATTTTCAAAGAAAAAGGCGGGGCAGGGAGGGCAAATACCATCCTTGTTCAAAATTACTGTAGGGAGGAGAGCCCACTCCGTTCCCCAATCAACTCGAAAAATCCTTGCGTTGACCATGGCAGGGAAGGGCAGGGCCCCGTTGGAGCAGGGCAAATTGCCATCCCTACTCCAGAGACCACCGGATAGCAAAATTCATAATGTTGGGCAAGTGATAGAGCTAATTCTATCACATTAATTCAGCAGGATACCTCAATTTTCTGATGCTTTCACTTGAGAGAGAGAGAAAGAAAGAGAGAGAGAAGTCATACATTAAAAGCAGAGGTGAGGACAGTGTACTCTGCCCTGGTGACTGGAATGTATATGCTCTCATCTACATTCAGAACTTTGTTTTGAACACCTGCAAAAGAACGAGAACCATGACAACGTTGGATTAACTTGCCTTCAAAATGTAAATGAGCCACATTTACATACTCGACCATCCAATTAGATTTTGCACATGGGAATTTTATTTTTGTTCCAATCCGGTAACAAAATTGAGTTTTAATGAAGGTATGCGAAGAAGGCCTTAAAGATAATACACCTCAAAACACAATTGTGAAATTCAAAGTAAAAACAAAACAAATCAAATTGACCCACCGAGACAATATGCACCCTGAAATTTTGACCATACATCACACATGAATTGAATAATAATAATAGTTGATGTTTTTCGTTTTTCTTTTCTTTCCATATGTGATAGCAGACATATTTGAAGCTTCCTCAGGGTGAAAAATAAGCAAGAACTTGCATGAACAAAGATCTAATCTGAATATGATAAGTCCTCAGGAAGTGAACTGAGAATTGCTGCATCATACTCACATAAAGCATGCTTTTAGAATACAGTACCATGAGTTCAAGGGAAAAGAGAATTACTGAGGTTAAAGAAGTGACCAGAACCATCTGGAAGTGGCTCAACCTTCAACACCTTCCTAACCTTACCTTCGTCACTGCAAATATCAACAACCTTGTTACACTTCACAAGCTCTTTAAAACACTAGGGCTATAAGTAGCAAATATCCATGTTTTCCAAGATCAAGAATAAGTATTCCTGCAATCTATACTGAGCAGAATGATAAATCCACATGTGTCAATGCGCATACAAGATACAAACATTGCAATAGGGTGGCTTAATACAGTTGTTAAGGGACATAAGCCAGTCTCAAATTCTGAGTATCTTAACCTCATAACAAACTGCAGCTTTCAGTGTCAGTCGATAATGAGAGTACAAACATACTATGTACACTGTTAGTTGGCAAAGGATGCAATTAGAGAAGAGCAAAAATTATTGCTCATCAATCATAATCATCTGTGATGATTGGCAGGAAGATGGAATCACAAAAATGAGTTTTCATTTATTCTTCATTAAAGAACTCATTTCAGATTGCAACAGATGAAATGGAAGTTATATGTATCAAAATAATGAGTAAGAAAAGCATTCAAATATAGCATGGCCAGCTATTTAGGGCTATATAATCAGTATCAGCTATCATTGTGGGAACACAAAATTACAAAGAATAAAAGAGAATACAGTAAGAGCATACAAACAAGTTCAAAATGTTTAGTTTGCTGTCCACATGAAAAATTGGAGAGTACCTTCTTCCCTTATTAGGATCATGGAAAAATTCACAGGAATCTCTTGCACCAAGGCTTACCAGATGTCCAATTTCTGTCACTGACAACGAAAATACCTACAAGATATCCTGTTTCGGTCACCCACAGCCATGATAAATCAAACACTAAAGATAATTGTTGGAGGCATCATGTCAAAAGCAAGAATCTTTTTTTTCAATCATGTGCAAGGCCTGATTTTTCAACGTGTGGAGTATGGCGGGTCATACACACTTCAGGTGTAGATGTCCACCAAAGGTGGTTAAGGTCCTGGTTTCTCACTTATAAAAAACATTAACTAGACAATAACTGGAATAAACCTGATCTGAAGTTGGAGGTTTTATATATATATATATATATATATAGCATTAAGTGGTAAAATGTACCAGACAAACTATTTGACAATTGAAACGGTAATTTGAACAGGTTGCAATATTTTAAGCAAATTGTAGGTTACCTGCTTTCTGGTCCAATCATATTGACGGACAGCAGTTGCAGGAGCAAACTGTAATAGCACGAACCCTTCCTTGACTAGTTTATATGCCCCTGACTGCCATATATATTAATTTTAAAACACAAACAGAAGGAAAAAAAAGAAAAAAGAATGAAAGATAGATGGAAAAGCAGCAGGCTTACCTCTAATGGAGAAAACTCTGGGGATTTAGGCTCTACAGTAAGAGCAGCCTTCCCCTTGTATATTGAATGGCCCACAAAAACCTTGGGCGGAGATACTCCAGCTATATATATTTTTTTAAAAAAGAACTAGTAATAAATAAAGGTAATTCTGATTAATCAAAAAAGAAATATCAATAAATAGATAAGTAAAAAAACTACCTGGAGGAGCAGAGGAAGGAGAAGGACGCGAGGAAGTGGTGAAGTTCTTCTGCTGCTGGTCGTAGTACTGGCATTTCACTCCCAAATTTTTCTTCTTCTTGGTGGTTGAGCTTCTAGTATTACTAATACTGTTAAATGCGAGACCATTTTGTGAACTGAGACTGTTGGATTGGGCAAGCCATAGTTTAGGGTTTTGGGTGGTACTACTTACCCGGCTCACACTGTTTAGCTGCAACATTTTCCCTCTTTCTTTGTTTTTCTTCTGTTGAACAACCAGAGAGAGAGAGAGAGAGACTGAGAAAGGGGGATAGATAGGTTGATACTCCCATGGGCCATAAGGCCCATGACCCATTCCCATCCCATCAAAACGCAGTTTGTCTATGTCGTTTTATTCAGGACACGTATTTATTCTGATTCTTATTCTTATTGTTATTTATTCATTCATGATAACCACACAACACGGCACAAATTTTCGTCCTTCCTTCCTTCCTTTCTTGTTTCTCGCTCGATTTACTAGACTCTATGACTCTTTATGTTGTTGAGTTGGGATAGAAGTGACAAAGATGTCAGCATTTTGGTCTCTTGGAGCTGGGCTTATGAGCACCTCTCCTACCTCTGCAGGTAATAATTATAACAGTGGGTGGAGAAGGCATAGTAATTCACGCTTCCTCGTTTTGCTTCATTATTCCACCACTAGGAGGAGCTCTCCTCTGATTTCCTGCTCCTCCTCCTCATCATCATCATCAAACAATCACAACTCATTGCCCAAACAAACCCCTCCTCAGGTACAGGCTCTCTCTCTCTGCCCTTATGTTTTACTTCACTGTGTGGTTTCTTTTATCGTGATTTGATTTGATTGGTGATATTTATTTGGTTTTGTTTTTGTAATTAATCAATGGCAGTTGGGTTATGATCCTTCGGTGGACTTACTTGGAATCCAGGTCGATCCAAAGCCAAGGTCATTCCCATTTGCTTTTTTTAAAAAGATATTTGTTATTGATTGATTTCTTCTTTTGTTTCTCTGTTTTTTTCAATTCATCTAAGATGTCAATTTTATGATCAGGGATGCCATCTCCTCCGATTCACCTAAACCAAGGTCTTGGTTCGGTCCAAATGGCCAGTATATCAGAGAGCTTCCTTGTCCAAGTTGTAGGGGAAGAGGTTATACTCCATGCTCTGAGTGTGGAATTGACAGATTCAGATTAGATTGTTCCCTTTGTAATGGAAAGGCACTTACTTTGCTCTTCTCTTCCCATCATACCAGTTATTTATTCTAATTATAAATACAGAAGAGCCAACCATGATGATGAAGCGTAATTTTCTATTTGAATTTCACTTCTTTCACCATTGTGGATCATGACAGGGTATGATGACTTGTCGTCAATGCTTGGGGGATTGTGTCATATGGGAAGAGTCGATTGATGAGCGACCATGGGAAAAGGCCCGCTCAATGTAACTTCTTCACATCATGCTTTTTGACTTGCTTCGTGCTTTTCTAAGGTCATGTTGTTATTTGTTACGTACTGAGTGTTATCAGCACCTATATCCGTGTTTTAATATCCTTTTCATTAGGTCACATGTATGAATAGATGACCAACAAATGTTGGTGATGATATTTGTGGATGATGGGTTCTTTTGGGGCAGAAATGGAGTTTGTCTCGATAACTGCAACACGCTAGTAAGATGCACGGGCAATTAGGGAGAGAATGAGAGGACAAATGGCATTCGTAGTTGGTTGGAACATGTGCCATGACTTGCAGACCCAAATGGAAGTAATTTAGATAGGTGGTACAAGGGAATTCCCTTGGTTTAATAGGTATGAAGTAGGGGAATTATAAGGAATGACTAGGACAATAGGTAGCAGGTACAATTCATGAGGGAATGTTCATGCAAGCATGCTTGTATGTGAGGCTAGAGAGAGAAAAGACGAAGTAAAATGGAGGCAAAAATCCTTGAATGATAGGCTTGAGAGCATAGTTATAGCATAGAGGACTTGACAGTCGCCCAATGAGAGTATGCCAAGTATTTGATGCGGATAATTGATGAGGTGCCATTTTTCAAGGAAAATTCTTAGATTATATTCAAGCTCAATATGAAGGTCTATGGGTCTTGAGCCATATCGAGTTCATCAAGTCAAATCTCTATAATTCATTCTTTAATTTCAAGTTAGTCCATAGATCCTGCCACCAACCCATAATTTATACTATGTGCAGCCGAAATTAGTGATAGCTGTCCCTGACAGCTTGATATTTTTAAGTGGAATGACACATTTGCTGATGAATTCATCCAAGCAAGTTTATTCCATATTCATGGGATAATCATAGAATAAGATGAGAGTATTAGCATGAGTTTGAATGATAATAAATACTCATAAGCATGATAAAGTAACGGAGATTATATAAATGCTTATGACAATTATGCTGTGAAATTACTGATATAGATGCTCAACTGCATGACTAGTCAAGGGCAATTAAGTACATAAGAAATCCAATAAAAGTTGAGAATCTACAATCTTTTAACCGTGCGCACGGAGAGACAATGTAAACTAAATGTACATTCATTGACAGTTTAAGAGACACTCTGAATTGCTTGCACTACACATAAAGTTCTGCTATGTTTTTCTAATATCTTTTATGCCTTTATGCAACAGTTTTGTATGCTTTTCGCTGTAACATGCAGTGATTTGTAGGTGCTACTTAGTTTTAAATGGTATTCTGATTTGAACCATTCTCAACATAACAAACCAGGCTTGTTATGTTTAATTCTCAAGTATTGTGAGATGCAGATGATCTAAAATCTAATGATAAAATTCTCTTCTGTTAGCTACTGCTTTTGTTTGGCAGAATGTCGTATGGCATGGTATGGTATATTTTCTTATTGACTTTTTGAATTGCATGCATGATTTTGCTTGATGTGCAGAGGGTAGCTTGAAAAGAACTTAGTTTTGATTTGCTTGTCTGTTAAATGTCTGAGTTCATAAATGTTAGAGCATGACCCTAAAGTCTGGTTTGTGTTTGGTCAGTTCGCCACTCAAGGTGAAGGAGGATGATGAAGTAGACAATTTGGAAATAAAGCTGACGAAGAAAAAATCAAAGCGCGTGTACCAATCATTGTCTCCTGAAGTTGGACTGAAGATTAGTCAATCACTCAAAGTTAGTTTGTTACTTCAAAATCCTGCCTGGCATGTTCTATAATCAAAGCATGAGATGCATGAGTTTCATTAAGGCAATCTAAAACCATACATGAGAACATACATCACAGCTATGTCTCGTAGTTATTTGGCACATCTTTATCCTCACTGAGTGAATATAGCCTAGGTGGTATGGACCCTCATCCAGTCAGCAATTGCCAGGGCATTATGGTCCTCTGGATCCTCCGTGTGCAACTCCCTATACCAATCTCTAATTGTGTTGATTTATTTTGCGTAATATAAAGGTGGTATGCAAAACCCATGCAACCAAACACATAATATAAGGACACTCAAAGTTTAATGTGGTTTGGCAAATCGCCTAATCCATTATTAATAATGTAGTAGTAACTTCAATAACCCTCCCAAAGAAAAAACGTCACAAGAAAATTCCTTTTGCCCATAAACCCAAACCCCAATGCACCCAAGGAAATAATTCTCCAAATAAAACTACAAAGAGAACCTAAAGAAAAATTTTTTCTCAAAAACCCTCAGTGCAAGCCCTTTAATTTTCTGGCCTTCCATGCCAAAGAAATATACCAGCGCAGCTAAGGTGTATAGCCTAGCATGTAGTCAGTTACTAGAGGTCCGAAAACCAAATGGGTAGGTACAATCTGGCTGCCACTTCCAAACAGGAAAAAGAAAACAAAACAGGGGAGTCATCTAACTATTAGAAGGTGGAGGTAGACTAGCTACCGTCATTGAATGCCATCAACCAAGGAAGTTTTTTCGACTTCAGGGAGCTCAGTTGAGTGGAAGCCGTCAAAGGAGAAGAATGCCACTTTAGTGAAAGGGGAAGGATGATCAGACAGAACTCGACTTCCAGTCCAGCAGAGAGAGAAAAGGCTATCCTCGGTTCTTTCTCCAAGTCTGAACCTTCCACTTCTCTGACTTCAACCAATCCAGCCCAACTAGTGCCAAGTAGGTACCCATCTTCTTTGATGGCGCAGTGAAGGGCTTTCACAGGGTCACCTGGCCATTGCAGTTCCAAATAAAGTGAGCCAAAGCATTTTGTGGACTGAATGCAATTCTGCCAACTTAAAATGCTGCTGAATTTGAGTTTATGGTTCTTTGTGGTTACTCAGATTAGAGGGCTTATATTGGATTTTATAGTTCCTCATAGGTGAATACAATCCTCAAATAGGCAACTACTAAATTATTCATCCTTTATTAATTTACAAAATCTTGTTATTGTTTTCTGCGATTGTTTTGGCTGTTGCACTTGTTCACTAGGAAATTTGAAGTAACCAGATCGTGATTTTAAGCTTCTTTGTTTAGTTGGATAATTGCAGAGTCTCAATGCGAAAACTGGACTATTTAGTAAGAGAATGAAGATCATCCATCGTGATCCTATGCTTCATGCACAAAGAGTGGCTGCAATCAAGGTATAAGATTCATCATTTTTCTTAACCTTTTGTATTCATTTATTTATGTTGACTGTGTGTTTTGACATTAGTAAATCACTGGCATTCTGCCCTGCAGCATTGGAGTTGTATTTCAATTACTAAAATGCATGAGAGCTGTCAAAATGGTTTCATAATCTTCAGTGTGTGAATTGAACCATTAATTTTAAACATAACATTCCACAGAGGTTTCTCTCTAAGGTGCACTTTAAATATGAAATGCAGAAAGCAAAAGGAACTGCTGCAGCAAGAAAACGAGCTTCTGAAACTTTGAAAGCTTTCTTTAGTGATCCCAAGAACCGCAAAAAACGGAGCATTGCCATGAAAGGTCAGGTCACATAATCCAGTGTCAAAAAACGAGCTTCTGAAACTTTGAAAGCTTTCTTTACTGCTACTGTGTTTTCTGAGTCATGATAAACGTTCTCTTTCTGCTTCTGAACTTATACATGTCTCACCTTTTACTAATCTACTTTCAGTTGGTTCCTGTTGCCATGATCTATAAATATAACCTGGATTAACACTAACTTTATTCTTAATGCACGTCCTGCCTTTTCTGTTCATGGTATCCATTTCAGTTAGTACCTGTTGCCATGATCTATAAATATAACCTGGATTAACTACAAAAGATTTCGTTAGGTTTATTGTTGCTATTGGGGATATGCTGCTCCAGATGATTTTGTTATCATCATTATGTTCGTGATTGTAATCACAAACATTTCAGCTTTTATTTATCATTTTGAATTGATTTATCAACAACACTAATTTCGACAATTGTCATGCAAGTTTTGTTATCTCGAACTTTCATTAATCAATCTTCAGTAAATATTTTTGTTGACTCAAAACTAATTCATGTATCAAGCTTGAATAATTATAATAATCACTGCTGCTTTCATTGAGATGAGTAGTGTTTATGCAATCCTTGTATGGTTGTTCATCAGCTTGATTTCAGATTTACCAACCATGTTCTCTTTTTGAAACAGGAGTGAAATTTTATTGCTCAAATTGTGGACGTGAAGGACACAGGAAACACTACTGTCCAGAACTTAAGGATAGCTTGATAGATAGGCGGTTTAAGTGTCGGCTATGTGGAAAAAAAGGACATAACAGCAGAACCTGTCCAAAGCCAAGAACGAGCAATCAAAAAGGCAAAGTTACATGGCATCGTCGCTGCAAGATATGTCGTCAAAGGGGCCATAATCGCAGGTCTTGCCCTCAAGTGATTGGGTTAAAATTAGGTGGCAGCGATACATTCAAAGATTTTCTGGTTTCTGGAAGTAGAAAATACACATGTCGATTGTGTCAAGAAGAAGGCCACAATGCGAGGACATGTCCTAGCAGAAATGCAGGGCCTGCTATTCTTAATCCTCCTCGTGAATAGGAAGCCACCAGCCTTTGTGGGGAGTTAATGCGTTCGTACGTAATTAATTAATAATTAATTAATTTTGGTTAGAAACTATCTTCATAAAGTCTAGTCATTTTTTTATTTTGTCTACGAGGGAAAGTGGATTCGGTTCAATGCGAGGGATGAATCCTGCTAGTTTTGCAAAAAGAATTAATAATCTCTCTATTTTCAAAAACTAATTAGTCCTTGTGTTTCCAAATTTATTTATAACTTAATTATTTTTGTCCATTTCAGGTTCTTTTTCAATTTATTTTACCATTTTGTTTTAAGAAATTAGAAAAAAAGGAAAAAATAGATAGTATAAAAAGAGGGATGAAAATATAAGAATTTTTTTTGTGGAACAAAATAAATATTGTAATAAACATGGTTAATATTGATTAAGAGATTAATTAGTTACTTTTTGGAACTAGAAGGACTATTTAATTCATGTTTGTAAAAGTTGAGGGACTAGTTTATAATTACTTGTTGATTGTGCTTTTGGGTATTAGCATTACAAAAGAATGTGAAATCTTGCTGAGCTGCGTGGGTTAATGAGTGTAGAGCATTGCAAGAGTGAATGGACAATTATAAAAGATAGGGCATTGCCAGGTTGTGTGGGCAACGTGGAGTATTAAAAAAGGCATTAAGGAATTAGAAGCCTATAAATACAACTTGTAGCATGAGAAGAAATATAAACAATCAAATTCAAGAATATTTGCAAACAACAAAAAGTTTTCATAGCACCATTTCAAGTCTCAATACGCTTGAAAATTGTTAAGCAGGAGATTATAAGTAACAATCAAAGTGGATTAATAGATTTGTAAGTTCATAGTTAGCTCTTAGTCTTATTATGTATATACAATTCGTATTTGTGACTTTTAAGAATCGAATTTGTTTGAGAACATTATATCTGCAAGTAGAGTTTTGGTTTATAAGCTCACTTTTTCACCAATAAATGTAATTGTTTTTTTTTTTTTAAAACTCTACACATGGTTAATTTTGCAAAACAACAAAGTTAATCAACAGAAACTCGAATGTGGAAATAAGGAAATTGAATTGCCTTACATACTACTATTCAATTTTTTTTTAATTATAAAGTCTTTTTAATTAGGAAAAACACAGAAATATCTGCAAAATAATATACAATGTACAATATGTAATTACATTGTTGCATACAATTTTTAATGGTAATCAAAATTGATTTGAAATTTGGAAATTGCTTATTGAAATAACTAAAAATATGTGATTGCAGTTAACAGGGTGCATAATAACTAAATTAATTTTTTTTTTTGTTCAGCATATGTACTTGAAAAAATTAAAGATTCCATAGTGCATTTAACAAAACAAATATCAAGAAAAAAAAATAAATTTCACAAATTATATATGAAAAGAACTTTTCTATGCAATTCTATTGACGTACGTATAAACGACAATAATATTCTCAAAATGTAAGGATTTGAAATACCAAAGGACAAAAGAGTAACAACAAATGATAGTTGTCCTTCTTATGGATTAACTTTGTTTCAAAACATTAAAAAATATATATAACAAATTAAAATTCTTTTCTAACATGAGGGGGAAAAAAGTAGAGGGAAAAAAGATTTCCCATGATTAAAAAATGATGAGATTAGAGAGATGAAAGGGCAAATTTACCATTTTATCTTCTTTTTTGGTTTCCCTCTTGCATGGGTTTGAACCTGCAAAATGCAATTACATAAGAGTAGTTTAGACAAAAGTTGGTGCTTTTAGATATTTTGTTTATTTTTATGGATTTATGCAGTCTATTTAGTTCGATCTTTTTGTTCCCGTCGGGCCTACAATATGGGCTGTAGGGCTTACTGAGGTCGGAAGAAACTCAAAAAGCAAATCCAGCCCAATCAATCATAAAAGTGACCGGCCCAGCCAAACATACTAGAGTCACACACTGATCACCAACTCGACTTGATCCTCCTCAAATAAAGAATCAGCTCTCTCTCTCTCTCTCTCTCTCTCTCTCTAGGGTTCCTGTGTTATCGGACTTAGCCATGGCTATGCAAACTGGAATCGGCGTCTCTAGGATCCTCATCCTTGCCGGAGCAGGTATTATTATTGATATTCGTCGATAAGTCATGTATACAGGCACACAAGAATCTATCTAACTTTTGCTTGCTGTGTTGTTTACAAGGATACACTGGTACGATCATGCTTAAAAACGGTAAATTATCTGAATTATTGGGTGAACTTCAGGTACTTCTATTAGTTCTTTATTATTATTATTTGTTTTATAGGATAATCCAGCTTCTCTTTGTTTTGATCTGATAGTTTATAGCTTAGTTAAACTTGCCCTGTATTCTTTAGCTGAGAAAATGTGTATTTGTGTTTGATAGTCCTTGGTGAAGGGGGTGGAACCTGGGGAACAAGCTGACGGTGATTCTGACCACTCTGATGCCATTGCCCAACAGGTAATAAAAGTTTACAGTTTAATTTAGAAGAGTGAATTATGAAACATTGCATTGAATGTCGTTGCAAATAACTGTCTGTTTGAAATTCCTTACAGGTGCGTCGGTTGGCAATGGAAGTTCGGCAGCTGGCCTCTGCACGTCAAATAACAGTTTTCAATGGAAATTCAGGCAAAATGGGTATCCTCTACTGTATTTTCTTTTCAATGGTTCTTTGAACAATTCTTTTATTTTTTCTTCCTTTTTTTTTTTTTTTTTTTTTTTTTGGGTTTGCAAAATGTATGTTTGGCTTTTGGTAATAGAGATTAAGTATTCTTTTGATCATATCTTATACTGGCTTGCTTTCTTGTTAGGTTTTAATCCTTCCTGCCTGCTACAGGTAATGTCACTGGTCTCATAGTTCCAGCTGCCGCCTTTGGGGCATTGGGTTATGGTTACATGTGGTGGAAGGTATCTACTTAAATACCAATGCATTATCATGTGTTTCCTATAAGATTGTTTTTTCATACACTCAAAACTCAATTTTTTTTATTATTATTATTTCTCTTATTTATTTCTTACATAGCTCTAAGATGAAGTTAGGTGCTTTCAGGATGCTAATGTTTTTTCCTTGTTGACAACTAGGGTCTAAAATTCTCAGATCTTATGTATGTAACAAAGCGCAGCATGGCAAGTGCTGTTTCAAACTTGACAAAACATTTGGAGCAAGTATCTGAGGCTCTGTCTGTAAGTGCTGTTTCATTGATGATTTTTTTTTTTCCCCTTCCTTTTGGGCGGTTACAGTATATTGTGCTTCAATTAAGTTGGAAATATAACAGTCCATGTCAAAGAATAAAAGTATGCAATCGACCAATTTCTATTGGTGACTTAACATTACAGGCTGTTGATTCTCAGATTACAAGTATGGCCGATCTTTGTCCCTTTTATCTCCTTTACAGAGTCTGACATCTAAGGCTGTAGGGTGAACTCTTTTGCAAATAAAAACAGAGCAGTCCTTGATTTTATTATGTTGGAGTGGCAAGTTGTGAATCGATTTATCTTTGGGCAGGAACTTACACTGTTATCTTTTCCACTGATGCTGTTGTTATGAGGCTGTAGGGGTGAATTTTGCTAATAATTCAAAACAGAGCAGTCCTTGATTTTATTATGTTGGAATGCCAAGTTATGAGTCGATTTATCTTTCGGCAGGAACTGACATTGTTATGTTTTCCATTTATGCTGTTGTGTTTGTTAATTTATTTTTTTCCCAGACTGCCAAGACACATTTGACACAGAGAATACAACTTTTGGATGATAAAATGGAGAGTCAAAAGGAGATTTCAAAGGCAATTCAAAATGATGTAAGAGAATCTCTCTCTCTCTGCTTGGGATGTTGGTTTGTTACATCCAGATTTAGGCCCTAGATTCGCATTAAAACTGCTCCAACACCTTAAACTGTGAATGAAGAACCAGGGCTGTTCTGTCTGATTGACCTCATCATCAAATGTGTGATTCTTAGTTTTGGGAAACAGTATGAAGCTGCATATAGAAGCATTTAAAGCAATAATTGAAATCTTGATTCTGGTTAGCTTTTTAATAATTGATACACCTATTGAAGGATTTGATTTCACCCAAGTTGTCTTTCAAGCACTAAACTTCATATTTTGTTCATCTTACATACTGAAAATCTAGTTGCATATAACTTTTTCTTTCTGATGATGAATAACCTCGTGTGATATATCAGCCCATTAGTTGTCATGTAAAACTTATTATATCTTTCTTATTCATTCAAAATACAGTCTCACTTTTACTCATTGTTATGATATTCTAGGTGATATAAGATAATTATGGGACAGTCTCTTTTATTCCAAAGATTTATCTGCAATATCATCCTAATGTGTGTCTATTTTTTTACACAGGTCAATGCTGCCTCTGAAAATCTTACCCAAATTGGTTCTGAGCTGTGGCAATTGCAGTGCTTAGTAACTGGTTTGGTAGGTCTTTCCTAATGATAACTCTTTCTTGGCCTTGCTAGCTGTGGCTTTCTTTTGTCAGTACATCTCTCGTATTCTCAAACTCATGTCTCTGCACACACCCCCATTCATCTTATTGAAGCACCAAAAACTCTGAAGATGTGCTCTATGACACTTTCTTATATGCTCCATTTTAATTTGAAATAGGAAAAGGAGAAAAAGTTAAATGATAATGAGAGGTTGAAATAGTCTAAATTTTTATTTTTATCTGGGTGCATTTGTCATTGTTTTCTCTGAATCAATTATAATTTGTTAGTTTCTTTTTTGCAGGATGGGAAGATTGTTTCATTGGAGGAGAAACAGGTGAAAAAGCACTTAAACATATACATTTTTCAATTTAAATGAAATCATGTTTACATGCAATGGAAAGTTTTCGTGGATGAAAAACTTTTTCCTTTTCCAAAATCTTGTTGAGAGTTGAAAGTAATAATCTGTGAGTTGTGGGCGCTCTGATATTTAGATGAGTACTCGAATTTTCTTTTGCAATACAGTTGTCATTGTGTTTGTTTGTTACTTAATTTTGAAGCTAACTAAACGAGGAAAGTTTTCTCTTAATCTTTTTATTGTTTGTTTTTAGATTGTTTTTATAGGAATTCTTCTTATAGTTGCTTATAAAATAAAATGGTTCCTTCCTAAGGATACATCTATGAGATAACTCACCAGTGTTTTATGCATTGCAGTTGCATAAGTGGTGGTCTTGTTGTTTGATCTCCTATTTGTATTATTGCTGATGTGCTGATCCAATTGTGTGGTGACAGGATATTGCAAATAAGGGTGTGATGTACCTGTGCAACTTTGTTGGTGGCAAAAAAACGAAAATGCCTAAAGCTCTGGAGGTTGGATATAGCATTTAATGCATTTAGTTATTTTTAATTTTATGCATCTGATTTTCACTTATAAATTGTTAACAGTCATTATAAATAAATGATATTGTGTACTTGAATTAGCACATTGTAAAATGAAGCTCTCACCACCATCCAGAAGTGGAGGTTTTGGACAAAGGAGGACAGTACTAATTTTCATTTACCCTGTCTCATTGAGCTATTAGACCTCTTATAAGCTAGGGAATTTTCTCAAAAAAAAAAAAAAAAAGCGCTCTATCATCCAAGCAATGATGGATAATTTTCTGTCCTGAACTTTTTCTCTCAACTGTCTCTCTACCCCTCATCTTTTCCATACCACTCGTTTTCTGACTGTGATTGTCTTTGACCATTCTCCTGCTATCTAAGTCTAGTTTTATATCTGACAAATTCAGCTTATTGACCTGAATATTTGTTTCTGCATCTTGCAGGATCAGCCTAAACCTTCGGGGAGAACTCGTGCTGCACTCACATACCATGAAGTCCCAAGTTTGACGGTATCTTTCTTCTATAATGAATTTAATTTTAATTTCTGTGTTTTGGTTCTCTCACTTGCGCACACATGTCCTAATACCCTGATACGGATTAGTTGAAGTTAGCCATGCAGGTTAGCTGCTAATTTACTGTTTGATCCTTTGGCCACAACATGCTAACTTATCCCCATTGGCCTGGGCGCTGTCATTTTAATACATAATCATGCCCCAATAAGCCAAGCTTGAATTCCAGAAAGGATAGAAAAGAAAGCAAGCAAATGTAAAATATACGTTGCATGTCTGGTTTATGGATTGCTTAGACCGAGCCCATTTCTGCCTCCTGGTCTGTCAGTACTGCTTTAACTGAAAATCTTCACGCTCTAAACATTGAGGACGTGGGTTATAAATGTTATTTAACAATAAAATGCATTTTGTTCAGCGATTATAGTCTGATCAAATTTGATGGCCCTCTCTTTCCTGACAGGGTCTAAAGGAGCTTGCAGACAATTTATCTCGAACTTTCAGTGAGCCAGCAACTGATGCTACTCTGCAAGATGGCACTGATAATCTGGAAGACCAGCTAAGAACCCCACGTGATGATCAACCAAGAGCTCTGCTCAGGTTTATATTCCAACATTTTCTAACTTATGCTATTCATCTGCCAGATTAGATTGTGGATGTGTATATAACAGTAAATTGGGATAGTTGTCTTTATTGCAGATTCAGTTATTTATTATTATTTTTCTTAGTTATTTGAAAGGAAAAACCATAATAATCATATCTTGTGCTTGCTAACTAGTAAGTAAAATTTTTTGGGTGGGTTCCACCACTGAAATCAAATTTACAGCAAGACGATTAACAAGGTTTTGTAAGGTGAATAATTATTTGACTTTTAATCACATCTGGCAGAGAGAGAGGGAGCTCCTTTAGTTTTTTTCTTTCTTGAAGCAATCTCAGTACAACAACTACTTTGAGATTAGGCATTGTTTTACAAATATTTTGATATTTTGTATATCTGTTGCCCTCAATCTCCCATCTGGTCACCGTCATTGCTGGAGTTATAGTGTTGGACTGCTTTGTTTTGGCCTTGGTGGGTTTTTGCATGTGGAGTACTAAAACAAATGAACTTAATGACGAGGCTTTAGGTTGGTGATAAAAAATAAGGTTGCTATTGCTGATGGTGGCTGCAGAACTCTGGTGCTAGAAAAATTGCTTTGGCATCATTTGTGGGGGTGGCCCATAGATTTTAACACCCCTCCACATTTAAGTTAGCTAATGATGATCGCAGTTCTCTTTTTCTGGTCGATGAAGCATTCGAATTCTTCTGGTGTTACTGCTGAGTAATTAATTTGGCTTTTTGCAGAACGGGTGAGTTAGTTTGGCTTTTTGCAGAGAATGATGAATGAGAAGTGTCCCAGGAGAGGATATAGAGTGTTTGGAATGCTTAGCTAGAAAGAATGTAAAAAGATAATGTGGGTTGCATTAGTATTTTCCTTGGATTGGAGTTTGATGGTGCGGAGATAGACCTATTCAAACTTTCATTGGTGACGAACAAGCTTTCCTTGTAACAAATTCGTGTTCTCAGTTCTGAAGTCAGTTGACCCATATACCACATTTCATAACTTGGTAGCACACTTTGTTTCCTTATTCCACAATTTGTTAACCTGGGAAACAATGGAGCCTGAGATTTGTGTCTAAGTAATAATGAAAGCAAGCTTCTGTTAACGGTTTAGGGACGCTTCTAGGGTGGTTGGTGATTAAACTTGAGGTTATGCCTCACTCATTGAGCTGGTGCATACTTCAGGAAAGATGGTGATAAAGTTTCTAGGTTGTGCTGATTTATGTTGCTCACAATTATGTGTTTCTTAGAAATGTAATGTTGAAATGCCTATGCCCTGTTTTATTTTTTGACATGCGATTCTGTTGCTTACAGTTTTGTTCTTCATGCCTTAACATTTGCAGGTTTAATTCCGCCAGGTGTTGATTGCAATGCCCTAAGCACGATCATCATCACCTAACTACATCTTTGCACAGGCTCGTTGATTATTTATGTACAAATAAGGACATCAACCACACCGAGTAACTCCGATCAAGGACATGGTGGTTGATTTCTTATGGTAGATTCACCCAGTAGGTTCCTATACGACTGTTTATGTTGTCCTGCTTTGGAAATTTAATAAAACATGCAGTCTGTTTATAATGCGGGTCATTTTTTTTTATCGTTTATTTGTAAGTGTCAAGGCAACTACCCGATGCCATGTAAAGTATAAAATTTTGCTGTTAATCTGACACATCAAGAAAACTTTCTAGTTATGATAATTATGTTTTTTTTTTTTTTTGTTGGAGAATTATGTGCTTCTCTAGAAAGTTAAAATGCGTGGTTCTTGAAATTTTTTTGACATTCCAGACAAGTTTTGAGTTTCCTGTTAGGTTGTCTCTTTTACTAGTCAAGTTACTGAAAATAAGTCCTGTAACTTCTTAGTTTTAGTTATTAATGCCAAGTTCTTTAATTCCTAACAATTGATCAAATTGAGTTTAGTTTGGCTTCAAACTTGATTACTTGAATATGTAACAATATTCTAGTTTTGCTCAACTATGGAACGCTTTTTTTTTTTTTTTTTTGGGGTGACATGGACTATATTTTTCTTGATGATGGAAGTGAGGATTTTGCAATTTTTGGTTGTTCACGGTAACTGATCATGCAAATGTATTATATAGATATAGATGAGGTACTTGTCAGAGGATTGAGAGTTATTCTGTTCAATCGATCAATGTTACAAGACAAAGGGATTTAGTTGCAAAATATTTGAATGTTAAGGGCTGATACTAACCATTATGCAGTTGTAAAAATAATTATAATTGCAGATTGTGGTTTATCATTATAGTAAAACAATGATTGCAGTAATTGATGTTATGAATGTATATAATAATAGTTGAATTTATTAAAAAAAAAAAGGTTATTTTTATTTTTAAGTAGTTTAAAGTTATATAAATAATAATCAATTCTTCTTTTTTTTCTTTTATTAAAAAAAATGGTCGTTATTCAACAGTGTTATATAATAATAAAGATGATGATGATGTATAATATTGATATTTAAGTAAAACACGTTATATTTTTTATAACCATATGTAATAATAACAAATATATTTAAATATATTAATGGCTGTTATTTTGAACTATGACACTAACAACTTAAGTGAAGGAAAAATACCGAAAACTATTATAGTAGACACAAAAGGAAAGGGAGGAGGGCATCTACCATTTATTTAGACGAGCAAGTTATGGTACATGTTTAAAAGAGGCAGAAGGAAGTTGAAATCTTTAGTTAATTGAAACGAGTAGGAATGCTCAAGGCTCCATCCCAAAGAGATTGCTTCATTCTATTGTATGGCGGCAACGTACTCGTGTCTCCTCGCTCTAAACACAGCAATGGATCATCATTTGAAGTGCCCGTGTGAGGAATGTGGCTGAATCCATCATAGAATGCCTCCCCAGCATTGTTGTTGCCTTCATGTGGAAGGTTTTTAGAATCATTTTCTTCAAATTCTTCGTAGGTGGTAGTCAAGTTCTTCTCCACAAGCTCTTTGAATATTGAGGATTTAAGGAGGAGGCTAAGAGCAGTCGAGGAAGACGACTTGGTGAGAGGATTAACGGGAAGCGTCTCCCTATGAAAACTGTCGACCTCATGTTTAGAGGTGTTCAAATTACCCATTAAAGAAGGACCCGTCTGGAGAAGGGATAGCTGGGTTGGTTTCTCGCTTGGAAAGTGGTTGGAGAAGGTTGTCATCGGCAGGTGGTCAGAAGTTGGTTTTGATTCTTGAAGTGCAGGAAGTGTGTCTTCTGGCTTCAGCCATCTGATGTATGTCCTTAAATCGAAGTTGGTTACAGCATTGATTCCTCTGTATTCGATGGCTGCTATATCGTAGGCATGAGCAGCTTCCTCTTGGGTACCTACAGCAGGAGGAAACAAATCTCTTAACAGTGATGTTCCTGGTTTGTCTTTATGGTTTGCAAATATGAGGTATCAATTATCAACCAAGGATCAGATCTTATATTTAGCTAAGAAAACCTTATCTCAGATAAGATTGCACCAACCAACTGGTTCATCAGTGCGGTCTTCGAAGATTTTATTTTCTTTTTCATGTTTCATAAAAAAAGAGAAGAGTATTTTAGGTTAGTAACTCACTGTAAGTGCCAAGATAAAGATACTTGTTTCCAAATACTCTCCCTATCCTTGCTTCCCATCTCCCATTGTGATGGTGCCTGAAAATTCAAAGAATGTGGCCACCAGCCTCAGAGTTAATTAGTGTAATCTAATTCCTTTTAATTATATATAAGCGGAAAAGGTGTTGCTTACCTTGCAACTCCTCTGTATTTGGATACACCTCTTGAAAAACCACTGCTTCTCCTATAAACAAAAACAATAGTCTCTTAATTCTTCTGATTATATCCTAAAGCTTTTATGTATGGTGAGAAATAGAAATGCTCAGAGAACAAACCTTCTTAAGGAGGCTAGATATTCTTCTTTGGTTACCGTTTTCATTATTTCAATTTCTTTCTCATAGTCAGACTCCTATAATAAATTAACGGTCACACAGAAATTAGCTTAACATAAAAAATTTATCCTAGCTCCATAAATAACCAAAATATCTAATAAGAAATTTACATATATATAAATGATTTTTTTTTATCAGATAAATTGGTATTGTTTACCGGAAAATTTGTGAAAGTTGACGCTCCCCAGTACTTGAGAGCAGCTAAATCATATGCTCTTGCAGCGGATTCTTCTTCATCGTAAGCTCCTGTTGCATTTGCAGAAGTTCGATCTCCAAGGTTAATTAGCTTTCTTAATTTCTAAGTCAGTTTTCTCTAGAGCAAATTAAGATTGGTTTCAACCAGAAAGCGAAGAGCTCACCAAGATAAACTGCTCCGAGCAAAATGAAGTGGAGAAGCACCCAGATGACAAAAGCCGATCGTTAGTAATCAAGGACGATAAGTATCTGAGGTAGGGACGGGTGAAGCAGATTTAGCAAACCTTCCAAAAAGGTTTGGAAACTACGTACCTTGTTTACCCTTCTTTCTCTGTGTCGGATTCCACGTTCCTTTATCCCATAAGTGAGCTTCGTATCGTCCAGTCCAACGGTGCCTGTGGTATTTAATTAATTAGCACATGCATTCATACGTTCAGCTTTTAGAGAAACAAACGAGAAAAATAATTCCATTGAAAATGATATGTAGAAAAAACCATGAAAATGATCCTATATATATCAAAATTAAATTAAACCTGCTAACTCCGCGAAATCTTGAACTTCTCTTGACTGTAGTGGCAACAGCAGCAGCTCGATCACCAAGTGACTGTTGCTGCTGTTGGTCACTTTGTTGATCATTAATATTATTAATATTGCAGCTTAATGCAAATGTAGAAGGGTCTCTTCGCCGTCTTTTAATGAACTTGCTAGTCTCCACAGCCTTTCTTTTCTCTTCTACCATGCACAAGCGACTCCTTCCTGCGCTTATCTGATCAATAATATTCCTTTTCAACTCCATTTTTTTCTACAGGACTCTCCAGGGAATATATCGAAAACGACAAGATCAGACCTGACCGGACGCTATGAATATGTTTGCTTGACGTTTTCAAAACTATATAATTATGCAAGTATTTATAAACATGTTTCGTTTTGAGTTGTAACAACTGCATCTATATATGTGCTTCATTAGTACCCACCCAGACAAAGAATTGTCGATGTTTACAATATCATTTGAGACAAATATCCATTGTCTGCACTCTCATAGACCCATTATAATAAGATGTTAGCTAAGCCTACACGATTAGGGTATCCCCAAAATTATATCCAGATCCTTGCACATCGGGCCATTAAATTCTTCGGTGTCATCCCATTTCAAAAAGTTCACAAGACTTTTTTGCTTTAGTATTTGAAATTGTACCAGTTATAAACGATTGTGTTCAAGTTTAATAGCATTGAATTTAGCTTAATTGCTGGAAAATGATCAGAGAAGTGCATTGAATCTAAGCTCCCTGGTTTAATTACCTCATTCTAAATGTCTTGCTAATTACCACAGTTTTCAATTTCCTAGCTTACAGCAGAAGTTAAGAGTAGCTAGTACTTGCAAACAAAAGAGAAAATAAATGCGGTGTTGAAATTCTTGAAGGATCGAAGTTGACGAATTTAATAATACTAGGCCTCGGACAAAACTGATTTTGGCGTTATTTAAAATAAGCTTCGAAAATGCTTTTCATATTTTTGTTTTCTGCGATACAAACCAGACAAGTGTACAATTACATGACAAACGGAGCATTATGGTCGTTCCTTTTCTTTTATCTTCTAGCTTGTTCATTCATGGGATTCTTCGTCAAGTTAGTGTTCATGTTTTCAGATTTGTTTTAGCTTTGTCTCCTACTTCATTTTAGGTAAAATGGGAACTGTTTCTTAAATGATGGCGGTGTTTTCCATGGAATCCAACTTTTTAGAATGTAGCCTAAAATCAATAATAGTAACAATACTTTAACAAAATTACAGTAATAGAGATAATTAAAAGAGGGGCAAATCAACACCAATGATATTTCACTTACTAACTTCACGATGATCTTCTTTGTTTTAATATTAGACATATCAACTTCTTCTTGGTGTTTTTGGTTTCACGATTAGATGGTTATCTGCTTATGAGTTTTGGTATGTCAGAGCAAAAATAATCTTTTTTGTTCCGATTAAAAGCATCAATATTCATATTATCAATGAGGAAGTCACGAGAGTTTTTGTTGTTCATTTAGACTCAAATCACTCTTTTAACTTGTTGCGAGGTAGAAAATGATGACCGGCTTATAAAACTTTAATGGTCGCGCATATTGAGAATTTCTTTTAGAATTTTGGCTAAAATTAGTATGACTCCACGAGAAATTAACAAGTAATGAAGAATCTAATAAACATGACCGAGTCTTATACAGGGGAGATAATTATACATATAATAAAAGGGCGTGGTTTTACTGTAGATACGCCATGATACAGTGAACCAAAAAAAAAAAAAAACATGGTTTTGAAATTTATTTTTTTTACTTGAAACGAAGTCGTTTTTCAAAAAAAAAAAGAAAATTGAATTTTTGAACAATTTGTCATTTTTTTACAATGTGGTCCTTCATGTTATAATTTTATACAAAACAATTTTTAAATTTATTATTATTAATATAAAAAGGTCCTTTCGATTTTTAATGGTTGGGTTGTGCTTCTAGCCTAGCTATGTGGGTCTGGTTGTCTCCAAACTGATACGGAAGGGCTTGGTGTGAGCCCAACACGATCGCTTTTGTTATTTTTTTCTCTTTTTTATGCTTTTTTTATTATTATTATTTAAGCAAAATGAATTTTTTCATCATAATTAATAGTTTTTTCTTTGTATAGACTCATTAACTAAAATTAAAAATTCTTCTAATATAAATTAATTTATCACCTTCTTCTATTTTGATTTTTTAAAATAAATAATTAATTTAAATTTTTTTTATTATTCAAAATTAAAAAAATATTTCTATGATATATTTAAACTCAATTATGAAATATAAATACATTTTATTAAATATTTCAGAATACATATTAAATTAAACAAATTCCCATAATTAAGCTAGGTTAATTAATTTTTATTTTACGCCTAGATTTTTGAATTATTTAAAATATTAAAATGTAATATATAGATTTACACGCAGCCATGCTCAAGTATTATACTAGTAGTATTCTAGAATAATATTGATGGAATGTCTGAGTATCAAATCAAAATGAGAAACTGTAATTTTAGGATCCAACTTTTGAATTTTATTTATTATTATTATTATTATTATTTGTTTTAGTGTCTAACTATTATTTTTTAATTGTTACATAAGATGAAAAAACTATAATTTTAGTGCCTAACTTTTGAACTTTTTTTTAGTACCCAAGTGATAAATTCTTAATATCCAATTTTTTATTTTTTATTTGTTTAGGTGCTTATAGTCACTTAAAAGTATGAAATGTTGATGTGTTCAAAATAAACTGTAACTTAATATATTTTTTTAACTAACAAGTGGAAAAGTGGAGCGATAAAAAAATAAAAAATTTTATAATTAAATTAAATAACTTTAGGTAATTGAAAACATTAAAGTGGGACCGACAAGAAAGTTCTCACCTAAACTTTTCGATTCTAATAGAGAAAATGAAGAAACGTCATTCCTAGAGCTCTTGCCACTCTTGTTGAACAAGTCCTTGTATCGATTTTTGCATCCTCAGTCAACTCGATGTCTTCTTAAAGAGTTTACATTCATTACTGCTTTCGAACCAACTATAGAGATTCCATCAATTTCTATTATAGAAACTCGGTCTATTGTGAACTTTGAGTTTACCTTTCCCAGTATGGAACAATTGATAAAACCCAAGTCTAGAGACTTCTTCCCAACTTGCATCAAGTTCTAACAAGTCCGGTAGTGCGAGCTTTGAAGAGATGTATAATTATTCTGTGACTTTTATATATATATATATATATATATATATATATATATATATATATATATATATGTAACAAAGCTCCTAAGAAAATTCCTAGTATATGTGCACTATATGAAAACAGATAATTAGTAATAGAATTTAGCAAATGCAATAATGTACGACGAATCAGCTATGAAAAATTAGCAATTCCGTCACTAAGCTAATGTCAGCAATGAAATTGTGATCGATTAACGAGAGAATTTATCGACGTATTATAATATTCATCATTAAAAACCATCATGAGATCACTAATTAGCAACAAAATGTGTTCCATCACTAATTTTCTAAATTTTTAAAAAGTTAAAGCAATTGGGCATAGTTTAAATTTTAAATTAGCGATAGACACTTATTTTTATCACTATTTACCGAGTGGATTAGCAATGGAATCGCGTCCATCACTAATCCTAAATCCCTAAAAGTTTTAGTTTTTTCTTTTCCTCCAAATTTTCTCCTTTTACCTCTCCTCCTTGTCTCATTCTCTCCTGCCATTAAATTTTATGTAATTGTTAGGGTAATTTAGATAAATTGGTTGATTAATTGTTAGGTTAAGATTTTAGTAATTAATTGTTAATTTCTTATTTTTTATTATTTTTGTTACTTGTTAAGTTAATTTTGTTAATTTGTTAGTTGTTTTGTTAAAATTTAATTAAATTTTCAATTAGGATTGATGTAATTAGCTAGGATTAATTTAATTAAGTTAATTTTACTTAGGGTTAAATTAATTAGGGTTTTTTTATAGGTTGATTTTTAATATTAATTATAATCCAATTGGTTAATTAATTGATATTTAAAATTTAATTGGGTTTGAATTACGGTTAATTTATATATGGTTAATCTAAATATTTTATTTTATAAATAATTATGTTTATAAACATATGCATATTATATTAATTATAGCCATCAAGTAAAATTATATATTTATTAATAAATTGCATAACATGCAATTATTTTAATTTATTTATTTTATATAACATGTATATTATAGTAAAAATTTTGATCCTAAACCTAAAGGACTTTTTTTTTTATAAAAGAAAAAATATATAAAAGTATGTTAGTCTAGTTAATAATGAAAATAGAAACATTTTAGTAAAAACAAAATCAAGTTTCTAACATTTCTGGTCTAAGAGAAGATAGCAAATTAGACATAATTTTCTTAGCATCTAAGATGCTTTAATAGGGACAATCTCTTATTTTTCCATTCCACAAGTCGAACCTTTGTAAGTTTTTGTTGTATAATATAATAGATAATTTAGATGAAAAACATTAATCAATTTGAATGGATGAACCAAATTGATAGATTATGGCATATTCGAGGATACAATTGAGAAATATTGTTGTATTGAATGAATCCAAATTTTGAGACTACTTTTTTTTTACGTGGAAAAGTTACTCTTTGTATTTGGATATAAAGAATGAAAAGTCTCGTAGGAGTGAAAGAATGCATATGGCATTTTAATTTCAATGATATATTTAGAATAATAATAAAAATCATAATAAAATTTAAAATTTTTAATATTTAATTTTGAACTGAGTTAGATATTTATTTTAAATTGTTGCACATACCACAAGGAAACTTGCAAAAGCTTTGAACATGAGCTAAAACCCTATTATAATTTAGATAGAGAGATCCGGAGGCAAATATGATAAAAGTCTACTAATGCTCTTTTGAACTCTCGTTTGAACTGGAACTCACCCCACGCATAGGAAATGGTGGAATATGTTTCTCCTACCTCCTCGTGCATAAGCTTAGATGCTAAATTATCCTACTAATAATTTAGATAGTCCAAAATTTTGAAACGACTTTAGGAATAAACAAACTTTGCCTAGATCATAGAAAAGTTAGAAAAATAAATTTGTTTTAAATTTTCTTTTAATTGGAGTTATATACTTCAGTTATTTAATTTATGATTGTTAAAGTAATTAAATATATGTTTTATTTATTTTATTAGTAAAAAATGATGTATTTTTTTATTTCTTTATTTGTTAAATGCAATATATCATATAAACTTTGATACATTTTCAAAATGTTGATTGTGTATTTTGATTATGTTATGTTTTAAACACATTACTTATCGAATAATTAGAAAATATCCAATTTTGATTGTGTTATGTTTCAAAATATTGGTTATGTTTAATTGTGTTAGGCTATGACGTATGGTTTGGGCCGACTCTCCAAAATCACTATGGAATCGCATTTCGTTAGTCGTGGACATGCATCCCCAATCGACGATAGCCCATAAGGATCTCCTATTAGTGTCAATCGAGGATCTCCCACTTCAAGCGTTGTATGTGGGTCTCGTGGCTCCGCGGCCTAAGACGTTGTTCTTTTTTTATGCGATCTTATAGGGTCATAATTATACAAAATTAAATTGATTACTTCAAAAAGAAACTTGGGCTACACAAAATTCACATGGGTTGATTTGCATGGAAATTGGTTTTTAAAGGAGTCAAAGATTGGTTTTTGGGTTGAAATTTATGAACCCACGCAATGAATTTAGACTTAACCAAAATTGGTCGATTCAATTATCATTTAAGCCTAGAGATATCACATGTTGATTGTGTCGTGGCTTGTTGTTGAAATGGGTTATTGATTCTAGCCGTTTGCTTCCAAGTGATGCACAATCCGAACATGGGCTTGACCATTAGGCATCCAATTCCTAATTAAAGGGATCTTTTTAGTCGGTTTTATAAAGAATTTTTTCAAAATTTGATGTGAAGTCCGGGTTTTGGCAAATCCAAATTGCTAAAAAGAATAGAGAAATTTTATAACATCCAAGGAGTAACTAGTGACATGTGCGGTAGTTACTTCATAAATTCACTTGGAGGAGAAAGATAGACACATAAAATTATATTCGGACCCATCAAAAGCGATAAGAAGATTTTCACGTTCGCTCAATTTTTTTTTAATTTTCTCTCCTGTTTCTCTCTTCTTTTTTGTGTTTATCTCTCTCCTCTAAGTGGATTCATGAAGTAACTACCGTACATACTACTAGTTACTCTTTGAGTATTATAAAATGTCTCGAAAGAATAGATATAATATAACCTTCATAGTTCTTTTTTGGCATTATGAGTGGAATGTGATGCTCTTTGTCAAGAAGAATGCTCCAACGAGTTTAAGCAAATAATAAATGAAATATACAATCTTTATTCAAGATTTATAATGGTCTATATAGATGATGTTATGGTTTACTCGACTAACCACATTTCAAACCTCTCAAAATCTTTATTAATGCTACTAAAAAGGTAGGCATAACCGCATCGACTAAGAAAACAAAATTATTTCAATCTAATATTAGATTTCTAGGACATCAAATATATAAGAGGCTAACTATGCCTATAGAAAGACTTATTCAATCTGCTGTTAAGTTAATTGAGACGAAAGATTAAAAACAACTCGCAAAAGTTTCTAGGAAGCTTGAATTATATTGTCGAATTTTATAAGGATTTAGCATTAGACTAGCTTAATACCCGCGCATTGTCGCGGGTAAGTTTATCATATCCATGTTTTAATATCTTATATAATTTAAAAATATAAATGTAAAATAAAAATTAATTAATACTCATTGTAAAAAAGTTGTTTAATTTTATATATATATATATATATATATATATATATATATATATATATATATATATATACATACAATTGAATTTAAATATTTCTTAGGAATATTTTTTATCTTGATAGATAAAAAATATATGCGGTTAATTATTTATTTAAAAAAATCCAATTAGAATGAGGTGTTTAATCAATTTATATTAGAAGAATATTTAATTTTAGTTCATGAATATTTATAAAAATAGAAAAAGTAACCATTGATAATGGAAAAAAAATTATTTTGATTCAATATAATTAATGAAAAAAACCTAGTCCGAAAAAAAATGATAGGGACCTTTTGGTAATATTAATTAAAATTAGGAATTGTTTTATAGAAAATAGAAACTTAGAGGACCAATGTGTAAAATATTGATAAATTGACAAAAAAATCACTTTTTTTTTAGCAAACGGCGTCATTTTGGTTTTACTATAACAAAGGCTTAGCTACGGTGAAATCATATTATGTTTTAGTATATGTAATAATTGCAAGCTCTTATTTTAACGAGTTGAAAAAGAATCCTTCGACTTGGTCAAAAGTTTGTAGCCAAGCTGCAAGAAAAATCAAAGCAAGGGCTAAAGAGCTTTCTTGTCTAGCTATCATATATCCTAGCGTATTCAAAAGAGTAGAAATAGATGCTTCGAATTAGCATAAGAGATTCTAAAATAAAGAATCCTAGAAAAAGAAAATTAGTTAGAAAGAAATTCTAACCATAGTTCTTTACATTACTAAATTCAAAAGTGATTTAATAAATCAAATTTGTTTTTATTGAGAATTGATTGCAAATCAGCTAAAGCCATCCTAAAAAAAGGATGTAAAAAATATTGTGTCCAAGTAAATATTTGCTAGATGGCAAGCAATCTTGTAGTCTTTGAATTTGATATTGAACACATAAAATGAAATTTTAACTCTCTTCTAGATTTTTTTAACAAAAGAACTTCGCACGAGATCCAAGATTGAAAACGAGTGCGAGTTCTCTAAAGTTCAAAAGATCCTTAAATCTCAAAAGGGATAAAAGATCTTCATCCTCTAAGGTTGCCTCTTCCAATGATGAAGAGGGCTCAACTCTTTCTCAACAAGCTTATGAGCTTCGCTTACCTCCCCAATCCTCTAAATAGACAAAATACCTTTTTGTTCCTAGCTCTTATATTCCTTTTTGTCCTCTAGAGTAGAGCTTAAACAAGCTAACTCCTTATCGAGTAGCGAATCTCATACTTATAAGCATCTTCCTCTAATTTTTAAAAAGAAATGAGTCTTTTTCTTCCAAACCATTCCTTTTTAGATTGGCTCGGTCATCTTTACTCTCATCGCTCGCAATAAAAATGAATGGGTTTATTCCAATATCATCATTAAAAAAATCATTATTAATCCTGTTGATCGTAGTATGGACCTTCATGTTGAAAATATTCTAAAAGATTATGCATATTTTTCCAAAAATTTTCTCCTACTTTGATTATATTCAAGCTTGGAAAAATGCTCTAATTTATGAAAATGAAGCCCTAAAGTATAGCTAGTAAATTCAATTTCGGATAGAATCTAATAAGATTGAATCTCCTAACTAGTTCAAAAATTGGTATTTTTATTAGTGAATTCTTCCCATTAATATGCCAATCTCTATGAATTCTTCTCTCAAAGAATTCAAGAATACTATAATCCTAATATCAATTATCTTAAAGGAATAATTAAGTTTATTTCATTTTATCAACTTTCCTGAATAGTACTTGTGGGATTATATTATCCATCAACACAATAAAATTCGTTTTGAAATATCCCTTGACCCCTACTTTGCAGAAGACCACTAGCTAAGTGGTGGGATAATTATGAATTTTTAGGAGTCTATGCTAGAGAAAACTAGCTTCTTGTCCTTTCTCTTCTCCGAGAAGAAAAAAAAAAAAAAAACACTCCTAATTCTAAACTAAAGAATTTATTCAAGGACCTATTCTTTCAATTGCTTCTAAAGAAGATATTAAAAAATCTTTGTTCGAAGCTCCGAATGAAAACAAATTTAAACTTTATCAAGCTAACCTGTAAGATTCTCATGATCCTTATGATGCGGATGACGGCATTTATATTACTCTCTTGTTGGAGAGTAATATAAAATAATATAAAACCTTCCTTGTATGAGATCTAAAAGTTAAATTTTTGAATTGAAATAGTTATTTGATATCGTGATATCAAACGATCATAAGTTTGAATATCGTCATTTCTATTTTATCTTCTAACTAAACACAAAATAATATGAAGTGTTGAAGAATAATATAAAACTATTTTTATATTTCTAAGTGTTATCGGACCTTTGCCTTCACGTGAAAGATTCTTATCATTTTGACCATGTTATTAAAGTTGTCTCTAGGTGTGTTGTTTAGCCTTTACTAGTTTTCACTTACAACGGGCAAAATATATAAAATTATTTTTGCTTGATGGTCTTTGCTATTTTGTAAGTTTATTAAAATATATCAAATCAAAAGTTTTTAAAAAATTCATTTAATTTTATGATTTTTTTAAATCAAAATTTTGTATTTGACTCATTATTTATTATTTTTTTCACAAATTTTTTGTTAAAAAAAAACATGATTTATTCTTTTTTATCTATATTCTTAATTAAAAACTTATAATAATCTAAAAAAATAAATTTAAAAACTCATGAATTCTTAACTAAAAACTTATTTTGTAAATTTAATCTAAAAATTAAAATTTTTTTCAGATAATTTATCTCATATTTTTTTAAAAATAATAATATATATAATCATGCTATTATCATTTAAAAATTTTAACAATCCATCATATTAATTATATCAATTTTTTTTAAATAATAATCATATTAAAAAATTTATACATAGAGAAAAATAAATTATATTTATTAATAGATAAAATAAAAATAAAAAATTAATTGGATGACAATCTTCATTAAAAAAAAAAGCCAAACTAAATGAATAAATTTTAAATAATAACAATAATACAATCTAAAATATATGTTTATTTTAAAATATAAAAATATATCTTTTTTTTTCTTCGTCACGTTATGTCTGAAATCCAAAAAGTAAAGATGGATCTTCTATAATCTTCGTCCAAAAACCTATAATAAAAAATATAAAAAACAATTATTGAAAAAAGGAAAAAGAAAAGAAAAAAGATCTGAGTTAAGGCTCAGGCATGCTCTTTTGGGCCTGGAGTGCCAGGCCCACGCATGCCACCTCTAACGGAAAAAAAAAAAACATCGCTTGCACAACAGACTGCGTGTAGTCTGTTTGCAGTTTCTGGCTAACATTAATTTGTTTGTTTGCCATGCTCTCTGCCTATATGTGGATTACTCTTGCTTGTTGAAAGGCGGACTGATTTTGAGAATTGCTTTAGAGTGAGTTTTATTCTTTCTAAAATACTATTGTGAGTTCTCAAGAACAACCCCGTATCTTTATTATCGTAACCTCTTGAACAATTTATATGTAACTCTTAATTTTCTATAATCATTCTTACTTTGTTCATTAATCTCTGTTTATGCTTAATTCTTATTTTATACAAAGTCATTAATCTTTTTTAATATTGCTTAATGGTATCTGAGCCTGTAAATAATTAATTAGTTAATTAACATTAAACTACCCATACATAATGCTCCCCTGGAACACCGTGAAAGCTCTGTTTCATCCACCTCTCGCTAGTCTCTGTAAAAAAATTCTTTATTCATGTTTCTCCACAATCCAAAAAGAAAAAAGATAATAAGCAACGACAAGAAAAGCAGTATCTTTAATTTGCTTGCTCTTTTTATAATCTCTGTCTATCCCGAGCGCCCTCTCTCTCTCCCTAGCAAGAAGTTCTCTTACAAGCAGCTGTCAAGTAGTGAAACTCAAGTATACGTACGTAATGTATGCACTGCATATATATATATTGACAACAGCGTGATCAGACTTTAGGTCTACGTACGCTTTACAGAGTTGGTGGAAGACAAAAAATTTCTAACAAGGCTTTCCCTTGAAGCAGTTAAGTGAACCCGAAAAGCGAGTGAGCCTGGTCACAAATGTTCCTGGTTTCGATTTGATCATGTCCAACTTTGAGAACTGCCTGCTTGAAGTCCTAGGATTCCCCGATGGGACAAAGAATGCTCCATTCATCATGAGATCACCCTCGGATTTCCAATTCCATTTCTTCCACTCGCTCTCTGTTGCGTAGTCCCTCTTGGTCACCTTCATAAACGTACAACAATTAATTAGCATGAAAAAATTCAAAAAAAAAAAAAAAAACTACCTGAAGAACGAAACAATGATGGTCTGATTATGCTCATACCTCCTTAGCAAAAGTGTTATTAGGAGCAATAAATCGATTGCCTTGACTGATGATGGTGGGTGCGTGGCTACCACCAATGGCATACATGAGCCAGTGGGTGTAGTCATTATTGACAACGTGGAAGAATCCCCATCTGCACCTAGGCATCCTCTGCACCAATCCCCTACCAAAGTGGTTGAAGGCAACTGTAACTTGCATTATAGAATCCTCAGAGTAGGTATCACTTGCGCCGAACAACATCACCTGCATGCATCGTCATTAATTATTCCACTGCTAAATTAAGACTCAAAACACCACAAGATAAGGAAGTCCATGTTACCCCTTACCTCGTTGTGGTGAGTGAAATGGCAGTTGGAAATGGTGATGGCACTTGATCCCATGATGACATCAATAAGCCCGTCTTGGCAATTGGACATGGAAACGTGATCGATCCAAACGTTAGAGGATCCATAGATTGAAATCCCATCTCCGTCGCTTCTAGTCCTCAATCCATAGTGGTCCACCGAATCCCTGATGAGTCCACCCGTTCCCGCAACAATGTCGTGAATGTGAAGGCCATGGATGATCACATTTTTTACAAATTGGATAGTAATACCGGCTCCTCCAGCAATATGCACATTGGCTCCCCTGGCATCAATGGTTTTGTCACTAGCTACCATAAGCTCCTGGTTGAGTCTGATTACCATGCTACGTGAAAAGGTTATCCAAAGGGGTCCTTTTTGAATCACAGCATGGCGTAGGGTTCCAGGCTTAGGGTTAACCATGTCGTTGTCTGAAGCATCTGTCACAACGTAAATCTTTCCGTACTTTCCCCCACAGTTTTGTGGCCAAAGCCAAGGACGCAATCAGCTAACTTCTGTCGATTGCTGGCCCAATTCGGGTCACACCGCCAGCATCGATCAATAGGGTTTGTGGCTAAGCATTTTCCGCCTCTTACCCTAGCTAGGCTCCTTCTAGAGCTGTTCGTCACCGCCATGTCCCTGGAAAAAAACAACAAAAAACGTGGGCAACCATTTTGGCTATGAATTTGGAGTCTCTCTTAATACTAATAAATGAAATTTTGAAAACACTAGGATTAGTTTAAGTATAAAGAGCTCGAGTTTTTGTATATATAAATTTTTTTTTAAATAGTTGTGTTCACCTTGCAGGTTCGAATAAATAATGAAGAATTAATCTGATCTTTGGACCTACCATACTTTGAGAATCCAAAAAACGAAAAAATGAAATTTTGATATCTAATTAATTAATTAGACCTACTTGTTAACATGGAGGTTAAACTGATTGGTGACGTTCATGGGATCCGGGTGGAAAGCCTGTTGGGCGGCTTTTCGGGATTCATCGGCTCTGTTCTTCCAATATTCATCGAATTCACCAATATGGGCACGCAGAGTTGGAACGAGCACCGCTAGTAACGCAAAAAGGAAGAAAAAAGGAAACCACCATTGGGAGTTGCCATTGATCTTCTTGTTCTTTTTCTACTTTCACCAAATTAATTTCTTGGTTGCAACTTGCAAGGTCCTGAAAGAGCCAGCTGCAACCTGTTCTTGGTGTGAGCTGAGACAGGACCAAGAATATTTTTCTTTCCTAACTAGGGCAGAGTTAAATAGAAGTAACTTGCGGTGATGAGCTTGGAGAAAAATGAGGCTGGCATTTGGGAGAACCACTTCTTTGGAAACGGTTATAATATAGTAGCATCTAAAAACTCTCCACCTATTGCTATTTTTACATACGGCATGCGTATCCCGTAGCCACATTTTAGAGGTTGTGTCTAAATGAATTTCTCAGCTAATTTAAGTACTTTGGCTACTGCAAGATATATCATATATGATCTAAAAGCTGTTGTGCAGTTATATCATTGCAGAAATAGAAGGTTAAAATATGGATACCTTGAGAAGCCTCGAGAAGCAAGATGAAAATTGTTGCAATTGTTGCAGATATCACAATACACAAGAATCTTTGTACATGTGATACCCTTAATTTGGCATCTTCATTTTGGCAATTTTGCTGCAACAATAACAGAGAAATTACAAAAAGATATATAGCAAGCACATAGTGACCATGTACACTCTCTGCACAGCCCTTTCCTCAAGTTAGTGAGTGCAGCGCTTTTATGTCCAGCCAAGAATGGGAACTTCAATTGGTGGCACGCACACCACCACCATGTTGAACTATTATTAGACTTTCTTGTTCTGCAGTTCTTCAACTTTGTAAATACAATTCTGCGGACTTATGGCAGACACTACTTTCTTGATCATACACTTAAAAAGGTTGAAAGAGAACTAATGTGAATATATTAACATGCTTCCCAGACCTTGTAATCCTTTCCTTCGATTTTTGAAGACCATTGATGGGGCCCACTTGGCGGTTCGTAATGACCAGGTCCAATTTTCACTGCCACTTTCTCGTCAATGATAGCCGCATACACATCCCTCTCCGCCTTGGTAATTTGAACCTTAAATGTGCAAACCAGCAAAAATATCAAACTTTTTTACTGCTGAGTATTTGTTTGTTATTCCTATCACCTAGTTAAGAGTAGCTTAGCCTTCTTGCTAAAAGGAATCATGACAATGCGTAATTAGATGCCGAGGCAATAAATGAGCAAACAACGTGTGCCATATGCCACTAATTATTTTTTATGTAACAAGCAGTAAAAAAGTAGAATCAAGGATCGGGACTATTTACGTGGACCTTTTCAATTCTTTTTTACTTTTCATTCTTTTCCTAATTTTCTTTTGTCTTATCATTGAAAGAAGATTTATAATTTGAAGTTGCATAGTACCTACACTATTTAATATGCCAAAAAATTGAAATTAAGCTATAAATCCTCTCTGAAAGTTTCTATATTATCTTGATGCCCAAAACATATATAAAGATACAGTTTCAATACTTACAGTACTTCGACAGTGGATTGAGTTCCGTTCTCTTAGAGAGAGGAGAGCTGCAATTTCAGATTGATAATGAGAAAAGATGTGATCATAGAACACTGCTGGTGTTCCTGGATGAGTCAAGATGTAAGCATATCCTTGCATTTCTTTTCCACCGGGAAATCTCCAATGACCCTTAAGGAAGACATAGTATCAATTAGTAACAAGATAATTTCAACGTATGAAGAAGCAACCGCAACATCAAATATAGGTCTTTCAGCCTTTTTGCATCTGCCAATAGATAATTTCCTACCCTCCTATTACAGTTAAGCTAAATCAAGATCCTCGATGACATCCTCAAATTGTCTTCTTGCTTCCGTTTTGGTGTTCTTGGGATTCCTTAATTTTAAGAACTTTTTTTTTTTTTTTTTTTTTTTTTTTTTTTTTGAGTTATTATCTGTTGTTTTACACTGTTCCATCTCCTATAGTTTCCATCCTCTCATATAATTGGCTACTTTGAAAATGTAAATAATCACAAATAACATGAATCCTAAAGGTAACCAATTCACAGCTGAGACTAAAAGCTGACTGAAGATTCAGAGTGATGCTTCCTGTTACTTTATGAACATAAAGCAACAACTACCCAATTTTCCAGGGGCAAGTCACAAAAGAAAGGCTCATCCCATGGTTATAGAAAAACAGCCTTTACTCTGTAATGACCGTTATTTAATGGATTTTTCACTCTTCATTGCTGTTATGTGACATTATTAGATAGATAACACCATTTCAAACAAATAATGACAATACAGCCTTTATGTGGCTGTAAATTAGTTTCATGACATTTCAGAAGTGGAAATCTCATGTTCTTCAAGGATGACCAAATTTTAACTCCTATATTTCCCGTGTAGTAACTTTTGATTTAGGCTCACCGTTGTTCAATTCCATCAATCCAGATACACCAGAAAAATAAAAAACCAAGGAGTCTAAACCTGAGTAGAACCAGTGTCATGATTCTCTATGAAGGTAACAGCACGAGATGGCCACCATCCAACAACGCCAGGAGGCTTTCCTTTCTCATCTGATAATCGCCAATACTCACACCTTTCCAGTGCCTACGAAAAAAAAAAAAATTATTGGCTGTAAATATGATCATCCTCCACCTTACCTTTTCTCCAAACATATAAACCAAAACAAAAGGAGAGGTAAAGAGTGGAATGACAAGGATGTGGCATGAGCTTACAAGTTACAACACTTGGAAAGCGAAAAAAAGCAAATCTTTCCTTGGATACTTTTTCATGGAAGTACCATGGAGAGAGATTGAGACTTACTTAAGTGACATATTGTCACCAACTTAATGGGTGACATCACTTTAGATTCCAGAAAATCACTCAAGTCATAAACTAACTGCCACAATGATCATCTACAGATATAAGCAGTTTTTGGTATTATTCAACTCAATTAATCCTGGTGCAAAACTATTGAGATACTTCGGTGCTACTTGCAACAAGAACTGTTTCTTATGTTTCAACTACAATTCTATCTACGGCTACAGTTTCAGGCATTCTCGACTAAAATTTATAACCTACAAAATGCCAACCAAGTTCGTCATTTGTGGGCAAGACAAGAAAAGATCAATGTCAGAAGCGGGAACTCGTGTTCTTTGATTCAGTAACTATTTTTTATACGAGATCCACGAGAGATGCTGATTTCTACAAGAACCTGCACAAGTATTGAGGTCTAACTAGAAGTATCATCAAAATGCTATTATCATTCCTGTCCCTTTTCTCACAACAAATATTGATACAGGAAATACATAAATTATTAGAAAAACAAAAACATAGTGATGTCAAGAAAGGAAAAGAATAATTCAATTTTCAGTACCACCTGGATCAGAGCATATAAACACCATCTAGATGAATGTCTTTTGGGTTTTTTTTTATTTTTTTTTCCACAGGGTGCATACATAGATGCACCCTTTTGGCCTTTTAAAACATAATTATCAAAAAAATTGAAGAACAATGTGTACATGAGCACTTACTGAATGGAGGATCCCTTTTGTGGTGACATCAAATGCCGCACAAGTCCCCTTGGTGGCATTGATCCAGTCAACAATTCTCTGCCGATGTGCATCTTGATTGTGATCCATTTCACCGTACGTATAATTGAGGGAATCCCAATACTCACCAACAGCAAAATAAGGTTCACTTGCATCCAAGTAATCCTTTACATAACCACCCCAAAATCCTCTCACAAAATCAAGCCTCCATCCATCATACCCGATTTCTTCTCTGCATGTCAAATGCAACCAGTTAAATAAGGTTAGTTATGATGCTACCCAAATAAAATATGTTAAACCATGCAAGGGAGAAAAATACTCATCTATACCACAGGGATTAGATCCCTGCAAAATTTAAAAGCACAAGGCAGAAACATATTTTGCTGTTGGTGAGTATTGGGATTCCCTCCATTATTAGTTGATAAAAATCACAGAATACAAAATACAAGCAAACAAACTAATGGAGCGACAAAATACAAAAACAGAGTAAAATCTGCTTGATCTTTACCACAGGAATACAAAATAATGGAGCGAAGCTACTAAATATGTTGGAAAGCAATAAAAAATCACAAAATACAAGCTTCGCTCCATTATTAGTAGCTCAGCTAAGCCTCCAAAACAGAATAGATTAAAGCATGCAAAGCACCAAATATGCTTGATCTTTACCACAGGAATTACAGCTCCCAGCAAAATCTAAAAGCAGAAGGCAAAAACAGCAACCAAACATGTAAAGGAAATCAAGGGAAAATCAGAAAATACAAGTTCCACTCCTCATTGTTTGTAGCTCATCTCAATCTCCAAACTATATAGCAGGCGCAACCAATCCACTCATTGAAGCAAACAAAACGGAATCAGAGGCAAAAAAAGCTTCACGCCATGAATAATTTTTTTTTCAGGCACAAAAGGACAGATCATAATTTTGAAACGACACTAAGGTTAGATCATCATCAGAACTACAGTAACTGAAATTTCCAAAGGAAGAAAGATGCTAACAACTGACCAGCAGGCATAGGCTCAACAAGTAGCTTATGACAAAACGAAATTCAGCAGAAGTTGATTGAAAGTAGCACATTCATAATAGGTTTTGAACATGAAAATGTGAAGCAGAGTAACTGGAAAAAGAAACAAATCCAGAGAAAATCTTCCAGCACTCTAATAGAATGAACCGTTAATGAAAAACAGATGGTTTAGGCACAGAAATCATGCCATTTATTTCTTGGAAGAAAAATGGTAGTGATGATAAGTGTGAAAATTAGGATGCTGATACCAAGATTGACTGTTGGAGACTGGAAAATGCTTTAATATAAAAAACAAAGTTCAGTTTTCATTCTCTCGCGATAATACATATTTTCTACTTGGTGTTCACTAATGATTGGAAGAGAATAATAATAAGTGCTTACGAACAAAAGGAAGAGGACTAAAACCTTAGCCAGCATAACCATTCTTTGAGATCTTTTCTCACAAATTCTTGTGAATGATCTATGTTTGGGGCAGCATGAAAATTATCTCCACTACTTTTGTTTCCTCTACCCTGCATGATATAACCCAGGAGTTATACAAATGCGAGATTATATTTTATGGGCACATTTAGCTTCAAGATGCAAATTCTGATTCAGAAATAGGAGCACAGTCCTGAAAGCAGTTTTGACGCTACATTTGCATGAAAATAATGCATCAATCACAAAGAGAAAACATGCAAAGTTGGCAGATCAAATCAGAAGTCAACCACCACTGAAAGCAAAAGTCTTGCTATTATCAGTTAACTGCAAACACAAGGTTGTAGGCCATAATTTTGCAAGCATGCAGCCAGGGTAGCAGGATACAGAATATTCCAAGAAAAGCATATGTGATGCAGACAGCTTAAATTTCCAGCAAACAGATGAAGTACCAAACTACCACTGCATTGTAGAATTGAAACGAAAACAAACAAATGCTAATCTTTTTGTCGCTTATCAATAAGGCAATGTACCCCCTTGTCCATACTTCAGACACTCAGACGAATCCTCCTCAATCCCAGGAAACACGACACAAATGAATGTAAACTCATAGAGTCAAATCATAAACTGATTTAACCACCCCCACAAAGTTCTTTTTTCCTACTGCAGTTGACAGTAGAGGGCTATGTTCACGATATAAGAACAAAGAATCCACAAGTGATACTAATAACTGTAGCAAAAACCAGTGAAGTGATGGTCAATGACATGTTCGCTTTCCATATTTATTTGCCACTGCTAGATTACACAAGGGTACGAGTGCACAGGTTTCACCTATCTTGGTTTAGGAAAGGACAAATTAAGTATAAATATCTAAGCTTGAAGCAACAGCAGCAAAAGTGTTCCCTTTCCTTGCCTTTCATGTCCCTGTTGCAGTTTAGGTACAAGTAAGCCAGGTTCCATTCTTGGCTAAATTGGAAATATCCAAACACATTAAATTCTCTCATTCTATCAAATGTGGTTGTTGATAGGACGTTTGCAATTGCAAAGATACTCATTGGAATAACTTAATGATTTGGAAAGCAAGCAATGGAAATTCCTATAAATAAAGTTCATGCTGCTGAAAATCATACAACAAAGCCAATTTGGTCATAAAACACAGTATCAAACATGCACATCGGTACATGTCCATTGTTATCATGTCGTCTTTATTCTTTAAGCATCCAAAACTTAAGCAAAACCAGTTGACGTTGATAAAATAATGGACAAACAGATTATTTCAGGCATTGAGTATAATATCAGCACTCTTTGGGTTTGAAATATTCAGATATATGTTCATTTTCTATGTTGGCCAGCATTATTTCTTTTCGAGGAAGTTCAGAGTTTTGGATAAAATAGATGTCATAAAATTATGACTATTTTTTACCTCACTATGCATTGACAAATATTACCTTTTGAGATCTTTTTAATATGACACTGTGAATAGCAGCATATGGACAAAAAGGTACAGATGCTTTCTAGAAGTAATTATGAATCAGTGTCATTCTCTTTCCTTTTTTGCTGACCAGTTCTAGAATTATGTTTGAAGCACCAAGGCATTTTTTCCATGCACATTAACAACTAGCATTTTTCTGGCAAAAGTATCCTGCCGCGTCATATTTTTGTTGTAAGAAATTAGAAACCATGCTATACTTCATTGCTTCTTTGTTCAACAGCAACACAGCTATCCAACATAGGGGATCACACAAAAAAATTCAAGTACCTGAAAATGCGGATCATCTGCAACAACTGCCCTGGCATCCCAATTTAAGCGACCCCCAAAAATATTCCATATGCCATTCTCATTCTTGTAGTGTGCACAACGATGGTTCAAAACAGCATCTCCCAGAACTTTAACACCCAATTCATGGAATTTCTTCACAAGATCCTTCAGCTCATCAATACTTCCATATCTGATATATATAGCATGACAGAAATCAAAAAGCATTTCATGGTCAGTATGATGATAGTGCCCATTCATATCTGATATATATAGCATGACAGAAATCAAAAAGCATTTCATGGTCAGTATGATGATAGTGCCCATTCATATCTGATATATATAGCATGACAGAAATCAAATAGTATTTCATGGTCAGTATGATAATAGCGCCCATTATCCATCATACGAAAAAACAGAACACAATCAGATGAGCTACTATCAATTTCACTCAAGTGACAAACAATAGAATTTGATGGCTTAAAATATGATATTTGTTTCCAAGCACAAAAGGATATATGACACAACAGAAAATATCCAAAAGCTATAGAAACTCCATTTCTACGTAAGAACATGTCAATTGTGTTAACATGAAAGGTATGGTAGTTATGGAGCAAATATACAAGGATCATTTTGATCATCTGTACTAGCATCAGCTTCTATCACGGAGTCCAATCTGAAAATCATTTAAAGGAGACCATGGCAATAGTATTATGCATTTTCATAATTTTATAATATGTACCTAGAATTAAGATTATACAAATCTTTTGGCATGTAACCTTCAGGTGACACAGATTCTGTTGGTGGGGGCAACCAAGTCACGGTGAATCCAAGGGATGATATTTCTTCAGCCTTTTTTTTGAGCTCCATGTACCACTTTCCTGATTTATGGGATTCCCAATTAAAGCCTTGGAGCAATATTTCATAACCAGTGCCCGTTCCTGAGGATATTTTAGGAGGAGCCTCCGTTACCTCAGCTTCCAAAACAGTTTCATCCATTAAAACTGGAGCTGAGCTTCTGAAGATACTGTATGCTTCAGCAGCCAATTTTTCAATTTCTTGGAGAATGATTTCTTGCGCTTCTTTTGTTTTTGTCTTCCGTCTCTTCTCAGAGGAAATGTCACTCACTAAGCTCCGTATTTCTTTAATTATACCATCGGTATATGCAGTTTGAGAAACTTCTTGATCAGCTCCTAGAGTGTTTCCAGAGACTGGTGCACCTTCTGATTGTCCAGGTCCTGATTCAGCAGGAATGCTACCTGAAATAGGGAGAGGGATATAGAAATCCTTTCCCATACACTTCAACCAAGTGCTTTCATTTAAATTGAGAACGAAAAGGAAGCCTACAAGGTCTTTGTCCAAAGTAAATAACCCTGAACATCCATTTCCATCCTCTTTTGCCTGCAAAATGGGATGCCATGTAAGTGACAAAGTAAAAGGAGTAGGAATTCTTAACATTAAAATTGATAAGTCAAACAGTATTAAATATCAAGATACCAAATTCAAATATCAACACTAGTAACGAATGATGCATGCTAAAAGGTGATTACAAGCCAAATAATGCTTTCGCCTAAACCCGTATAATGTGGTGTATCATTTATATTCATACGCACATTTGAGTGTATGTGAGTACTAGATAGAATCTTTGACAATATCCTCTACATCCACTTGGTTTAAGGCCTATCTTTCTGAACTTCCAGAAAAACTATCCACTGCCACTAAAGAGTGAAAAGGAGGAATAAGAAGTGAAGGAACAACTACAAAACCCACAATACAGGTAACACATAATTGTGTTCTAAGCAGTGGGTATTTTCCTTTATTTTTTGTAGAAGAGAAAAAAAAACTTCACCTTATCCCATTCCCATGCAGGTTCAAACCTATGAAGCACCCTTTGCAGAATGGGAGTCAACATTGGGAGAAGAAGAAGAATGGTGACAACAACAGATGCATGCAGGTTATGATTGTGATAGATAGCACAGATTTATGTTTGTGACCAGCAATTTTCTTTTTCCTTAATATTAGGTCATTGAAAAATCTACAATCAGTCCCAACGAGATGAATGCAGGTCAGTCCCAACGAGATGAATGCAGGTCCAAACCTAGTGGCACAACTGGACCAAAAACAAAGCGAGTGAAGATTTATGTGCATGTTTCATAAATTAAATTTCCAATAGTAAAGCTTACACAAGTAAAATAAGAATCAATCAGCAACGTTGACACCACATTAAGACTCTCAGAGAGGCTTCTCTATGTATGTTTTGGAGGGACAGAGACATGGGAATAGAGGTCAGCTGAAACTTATGGAGACCAATTTTAAGAAATTGTCCAGTATAAATGAACGATATTTTATTTTTGCAGGGTGTCATTTCCAATCAATGACATCACTTTGCAGAAAGAGAGGTGCCAGTTGGCCCACATGTCCTGGTAACCTTAGCAATCAGTGTTCTAGCATGGTTTGATGAACTTTACATAGTATACCACATAAAATGAGCAGTTATTACTGTCCAGAAATAAAGTGCATGCATGCAGTTTTAATTAGCTCTGTATATATCATTATCTAACAGAACCCTAATTACATGCAATGCATATTTTTACAAGCACGACAACAACGGTGCATGTTCGGAAAAAAAATGTTGAGTATGCTATTCAAGTTCCTCTTTAGATATTAAATTTAAGTCTATACCTGTAGCCTAGTCTGCAAAGCCTTGTTCATAAACACAGTTGTTTCTGGTGGATGAGGAGCAGCTGGAATTTCCCAGTTTTTAGCATCATCTCTGCAAACTCCCCAGTGGACAACAACTTCTCCAGGTAGGTCAGTTTCTAAATAGAGAAGATTCTTAGCTGTCTTGGGACACTTACTTACTGAAACAGTCACTATTTTTTCAACCACAACACATTTAGCAATAGGCTCCTCTTCATAGAATCCTTCTTGCTGACTAATTTCTTTAGGGTCTTTGGATCTGCTGCTACTATCGTTACCTTTAGAAGCCGATGCTTCTGCTTTGAGGAACATGTTAGAAAGCAATGCCCCTAGAATTAAAGATGAGTTAATAGAATCCATCAGTTCATAAGCAAATATAAAATGGAGAAGAGAGAGTGCTACAGAAAAGAACAAACAGAAATCATAAACTGCCTATTCATGACCCAACTCATCGCCAATATGCTAGTAAGCATGAAATTGGGATCATCAACTTAGCCAACTGTGCCACCTGATTTAATTTTCCACTTCCATTTCTAGCTCAACCAAGATGTATGTAAACCATGAAATCAGGCAACAAAGTACTTAACAAACTACGAGAGACTAGCAATGCAGCATTGAACTATGCCAGTTTGAAACTTATGTGGAAAAGGAAAGTGAAGAACAAGAAAGTAACAAGGAAACTACGAGAATTTAATTCATCCTCTAGCAATTCTGTATGTCTGTACAAGAAAACGGGCAGAGAAAAGTCAAACTAATTCAATTTCTAGTTTTTCAGGAATCCTATTCATTCACATGGTGATCAAATTGTACTTGGAACTTGCCTTTCTCTGGCACAACTCTATGGTTATGTAGAGATACTGGGTCAATCCGATTAATATCTCTGATTAGGAGCATCCTCTATGATAGTTTTACAAGAAATCTTGTTAAATAAACAAATCCATAAAAACAGTCACATGTTGTTCGCAACGGTAACAGATCTGCAGTACAAAACATGGGGAAGGTAAAGGGATCAAGAAAATAGCAGCATATAAAAATAATAACGACTAATTACACAACCTGGCCATATACTAAAGCCCCCTTTTGTTCCTGTTACATTGCCAGAATTGAGAAAGCAGTCGACAAGAGGCACCTTGAAATCTCTCCCTCTGTGCTGATACCATACTCCAGTTTCTTCATCCTGTGCCAGCCACCACAATCCCCCCCACAAATTGAGGAAAGGGAAAGAAAACAATATATTACCACAAACATAACATGGAAAATAGTGACAAAAGAAGCAGCATGCTCAACTCAAAACCTTCAAAACAAAATTGAAGGCTGTAATAGCACTTTTTGGATCGATCTCAATCTTCACTTGGTGAAACATATCTCCTTCTGATGACTTCTTTAACGGTGTCTCTATGGCATAGTCCTGCAAAAGCAAAACATTACATTCAGTCAGTCAGTCAGTCAGTCAGGTGTCAAGGTGGTCCATAACAAGGCAGTAAATAATTAAAACAAAAATTAAAATTTACCTTTATAGGAATCGAACCAGAGGGTCTCATATTCTCAGGAGGTTGATACCATTCGCTGCCAATATAATCAACATAAGAAACACCCCAGTGAAGAATCCATTTCCCTGGAAGACTACACCCTATAGTAAGCTGCTGCCTTGGATCCTCCTTGGCCTTGCTCTGATCTAATCTTACAAAAATCTTTCCCTCAATCGTTTCAGTATGCGAGAGAGGGAAGGTCTCCTTGAACAAGACATCACTAGTAGATTCAACAAGAGCCGTTCCAGTGGAGGTAGCTCGAGCCACGTGGTTGTTGGCTCTAATGCTAAGAGAAGGGAAGGAGGAGGCATTGAACGGCAGTTTTCGTCTTGATATTAGCGAGCAGCAGGGCCAGCAATTGAAAGAGGAAGAAGATTTGATTAGAGCAGAAGTAGTGACAGCAGCCATCCTTCTGCCTCTAACAAATCCAGGCTTTTCGATGCGAGGATATCGAAGGAAAGGCTCTATGCTAACTGTCGACATTTTTTTTTCTTGTGTGTTTTTGTTGATCTATCTATTTATTTATGTACTGATGATTCCAGTCATAGGGTGGAGCAGAGAAATGGAAAAGGGAATTTTTTTTTCTTTCAGATATTTATAACCCTCTAGTTGCAGTGGTGATGTCCTTCGATTTGATTATTTATCTACTTGTTTATGCCGAAAGGTCAGGCTTTGTAAAGTTTGATTTCCTTTTTGTTTCTTTCTTTCTTTTTCCTCTGCTTGTAACATCTGTCACTGTGACTCTGTCCCACTAATTTGGAAAGTAAACTTACCAGCGGCATGTATTTTACATGTGGGAAAGGTTAGGTAGGGCCTTGGAATGAAAAATCACATCTTCTGCAGTATATTCTCTTTCCCATGCCACATATAGCAATTATTATTATCGTTATTGTTATTATTATTATTTAGAGTTCCGTAGATAGTAATTTTATTAATGATTTAAATCAAATTGATTATTTTATTCCCAGGCTGGCAGTTCCTCTTCATTTTTGGCTACCTTTGCATTTCTGGACTATCAATTTTGCCAAAAAAAAAAAAAAGCGTCCAAAAGTTGGATTTTATTTTCTCAAAATTAAATTCATATCTGATTTTGTTCAAAAACCACTTAAATAACATTAAAAAACTCGTTTAGTACCTCAAAATCCATTTTAATCCACACAAAAATTCAAATAAAAAAACTCATAATATTTTAGGCTTTCGATTTACCTCTTTTTATCATTTCATGAATTGCCATCATTATAAACGAATGGACGGAATGGGTCTCATCGATCATCTCTCTCTCTCCTCCCTTCTCTCCTCTTCCTTTCTCTCTTCTCTTAAAAAGCATAAACCAAAACAAACGAAAAATAAAGTTTAGGACAAAAAAATGTTCAAAATAAAGAGACCAAAGTTAATATTTTTTATATAAACAATAAATAAATAGTGATTTGAGAGATAGTGAAAAGTAAATAAATATACATTGTGTGACTCATGTTTTCATTTTGTTTTAATTGTTTTAGTTAGTAAATTAGTCCCTATAATATATCCAAATCATTGATTAGTCTCTGAGGTATAAAAAATTATTAAATTATTCTTGCAGTTTTATTTATATTTGTTGATAATAACTTAGTCTCATCTTATTTTTTGCGTTACCAAAGTATTCCATCGTCCATATTTTGGCTGTTATTTTCCAAAGATCCAGTATTTTTTTGTTAAAATTTTCGAATTTCCAATCTAATTTCTAGTTTGCACATTATACAAAACATCCAAGTGTAATTCTTCTCCAAACCAGTTAGAGATTTATTTATTTATTTATTTATTTTTTTGGCATATGAGTTTGAGACAGTGTAGAGCTATATAATCCAAAATCAAGGATCTAATTGTAAGAATTTTTTAATGCAACAGCTTCTGTTGCAGGAAATTTCATACATCCTAAAATTACAACAAAATATAAAACTTAAAATTATACTTGGATAAATTTTTTTATAAAATTATAAAAAAATGTATCACTGTTAACATCTATAATATATCCTGATTGTAATCTTTAACTATCATTTCATATCATCGTTTTATTTACAATTAAAATTTTATGTTTTTTATCGTATATTTATATGTTTAATATATATTGAATCATGTTGTATTGGTATCATCATTTTATCTACAATTAAAATTTTATGTTTTTTTATCGTATTTTTATATATTTGATATATATTAAATTATATCATATTGGCACGGTATGTATATTTGATAAGGATCCGATAGAGATTTGGTTTTTTTTTTTAATTAAATGTCCAGGTTTGCCGCCCTCTTGGTGTGAAAAGATTGTTACGTACAAGTGTAGTTTGCGTTATTTCTACGTAATCTTGCATTTTCTCCTGGAGAATTATCGCAAGCTATCTTTGAATTATTATTATTATTATTATTATACATTTTTTAATAAGCCCAGAGCTTGAGGCCAATCGTGAGATGGGTTTGGGCTTAAGGGTCAAACTAAATAACCTAGCGGATCTGGGTCATAATAAAATAGTATAGGGTTAGATTGAGACTGATCTTCGTATGGACGGCTCCATTGATAAAGGCTTGATCATAGAGGCTTAATTTAGTTGGGCAAGTGACTTTACTCTTCATATTATTATCTAAGGTTCGAATTTTCTGAGCGATAGTACAAAAATAATTACCTCTGAATATGTATTGATATAAATGAGAATAATTGATCCGATTCACGCACATTAACCAGAAAAAAAAGGAGAAAACCAGTCCACGAATCTTATTATTGTTGTAAGTTTTTTTTGAGAGGCCACGATCCGATCTTCTTCATTTTTATTTTCTGAAATGGGTCATCTTTGCGTATAAAGTAAGGCTGTTCAGTATTTATGATCCCAGCCAAATATTAAAAGGATAATAGCGATGCAGCCTATGCCGTCGCGTCAGCCACGATTTTTTATTTATTTTTTTTTTCAGGAGGATTCAGTGTATCTTGATTGTTGATCTTTTATATAAAATGAGGAATTATTAGGTTACATGTTCCTAATATATTATTTTCACACTAAAAAAATGGTATACATTGTGATAACTATGAATCCTATTTTTGAGAAATTACGAAGCATGATGTGAGTTGTACTTGTACTTTTTACGTAAACATGAAAGATACCATGAAATTATTCATAGATCTCATTTTTATGTCACAGAATACAATTTCCGATGTATTTCTATTTTAGTAAGAGAGGAGAAGAAGAAGAGGAGAGAAAATTAAAAAATTATTTTTAATGCTATGTGAAAAAAAATTTATCATTTTTTTATGAATGTTGACGTGATTTTTTCTTTTATTTTCATAGAGTCGACGGTATAATTATCAATAATTACTCTACTAGTACTCTAAAATATTTGTTAATGATGTGTTTCAAATATTAATTTTAAAATACTTAAAGAGTAATTATCATTAATTACTTCATAAATCCACTATAAAGATATAGACAGATACAAAAATTAAAAAAATCATATCCAAACTCATTAAAAATAATAATAATATATTTGTTTAGTATATATATATATATGTATGTTAACTTTATCTCTTATATTTGTATCTATATTTCTTATATGTCATAATTACTGATAATTATTATTGGAATACTCTAAAATTTCTCTTGTACGAGAAGAAAGGTTATTTCTTCGTGTTTGGCACACAATTGTTGAGAAGGAAAGAATTTAAAGAGGTTAAATGTTATCATCCGAGCATGGAGGAGTAAATTATAAATTACATATCCTCTAAACAAATCGATAAGTTTCTTTTGTTTTAAAAACTAATCATTTTTGTTTATTTTATGTTCCTTTCTAATTTGTTTTGTTTTTAACAAAATAGAAAAAGAAAAAATGAATAGATATTGGGGGGAAATAGATATTAGGGAAAGATTATGAAAAAAAAATATTTTTTAAAATAAAATAATATTAAATTAAATATGTTCAACGCTAGTTCAAAAATAAAATAATTAGTTTTTTTAAAAAAAGAAACTAATTTATAATTCACTCGGCATGAGTAACTTACCCACCAAAAATAAAAATAAAAATAGAGTATGGGTCTTATTTCTTTCTTAATTTTATCATTTATTTATTTATGGATCCCATTTTACATAATTTTTGTCATATTTTAAATTTATAATTCATTCACTTTAGAAGTGAGACCTATAATTTATTTATAAAATCTATTTTATTAAATATGGGTCCCATCATTATCCATAATTTTTCCACTCCTAACAAACATTAGTAAAACCTCACTCATTAAATACGTTTTATGCCACAACACTTCACTGTTTAATCTTACCTCCTTAACATTTCCCTCTAAATTTTAATCTTGTACCAAACGCAACCTAAGGAAATACTAAATCATAAAAACCTTATAATCTCTCATGTGAAATGACAAAATGTAGAGTATTTTTGGAGTAACTATCTGTGAATCAACTTTAATTGAAAGAAAAAATATTAAATTTAAAAAGACAACTAGAAATTTGATATCCAACGTAAAAAATAGACATTTAGGTTTTTTTTTAAATGATAAATAAAAATTCACTTAATTGGAATATAAGCAAAGCATAATATAAACCTTAACTAATAATCCCTTTAAATCAGAAGCTTGTGGCAATATTACGATGTAAGAGTATGAATAGGGTGATTTTTATTTTCTCTCCATGTAAGTTACCTTTTTACGCTATCTTCTATGATTTTTTCTTACATTTTATCTTGAATAGAAAAAAAGTAGAATGATGACTTCATTACATGGACTAGATTTTAAAATATAAGTACTTAATCACCATCAAGCTTTAAGGGGTAATAAGAGTCATAGATAGTTTTACTAATGCAACTCTTTCACACTTTTTATTCTCTCTTACTGGATTATTTGGTGTGATCGTACCAAAAAAAGCTATTCAGGGTGTTATCCTTCCCTCTAGGTGTCAGGTAAGGCTGATTCACTCCCTAGTCAATGATTGTACCTTAGTTTTCAACATTCCATCTACTGTCCATCCTCGCAGCCTTATTCTCAGTGCTATATTTTTTGGGTAGCTCCCTCCCAAGATTCGGTTAGGTGCAACACTAATGGGAGCTTTTTGAGCTCGTCTGCCCGTTCTGAAATTTTATCCTTGATTACTGTAGCATATGACAAATAGGTTTTTCAAGTTACCTTGGTTACTCATCCATTATGATAATAGAGTTAGAAGCGCTTCATCAAGATCTCATCCTCGTTTGGGATTGTGACTTTCAGATAATGATTATGAAGATTGATTCTCAATGAGTAGTTAATGCTATTTATAATGGTGTTTTACTGACTTATCCCTATGACAATATCATTATTGGCATCTGTTGCTTCTACTAACGATAATGATATATTTCCTTCAATCATATTTTGAGAGAAAATAATCGAGGATCCGATTATACTATTACCTTGCTCATCTTGACTCTTTCGAATGACACTTCATTTTGAGTTTGAAATCTTCCTTCATCCATTATTAGTT